CTCTCTCTCCTGTACACACACACTCAAAACAACCCCGTTCGTTCGGACTTGGTCAGCTTCTCTGCTGCCCTGGCCTTCACTCAAATCTTTTCAGGCCTGTCACAAGCACTGCCTAGCGAGCTAAATCTTCCCGGTGCTCATTCATTCACCAATTCCGAGCTACGCCCGCCCTCCCATGCACAGACTCGGTGGCCAGCGCGATCCGGGCCTGATGGGCACCTGCCTACCTTCTTGCACGGCACCCCCAAATCGCGTGTCCCCGAGTACACACTCAAGTCATCCTAGAATCCCTGGTCCCACAACGGTTCAGGCCTGGGAGGCACCTCCGGGTGCAAGTGTCTATGCCTCCGTGCAGACCCGCCCTTCTTACCCCAGGTGGCCAATGCATGCCACGATCCACGCAGACCCCGCCCACTCTGGGCCACCCAGCTGCTGACTGGTCCCCCGTGTAGCATCCTCCCTCCCGCACGTGGGGCGGGGGCGGGGTGAATGGAGTGGAAGCCATCCCTCCTCTCCCGTACTCCCCTCCCTGTCCTCGCCAGATCAGAGCGCTGGCCCGGGGAGGGGACCCAGGCGCTCTGATCCCTCCCAGCCTGGCTTCCACGTCGCCGACCCGAGATGGCCAAGCGCAGCTCGCTGTCTATCCGCATCATAGAAGGGAAAAACCTGCCGGCCAAAGACATGTGAGCAGCGAATAGGGGGTGGGCGCCCCAACTTTCCGGGGATCCCCTTTTGTACACTTGATCTTTACAGGGGGGTCCCCACAGCCCTCCCTCCAAGGTGTGGCATGTGCGGCCACAGAGGGGGACTGGCATGGAAATTGGGGACAGTGAGATTTGCGATGGGTACGGGGGGGGGTGACAGTTGAGAAGAGGGTGTCACTGGGGGTTGGGGACAGAGCAGGAGGTTTAGAGAATTGGGAGAGTGAGTCAGAGGCTCATGGGGCTGTCAGGGGTTTTAAACAAACTGAAGCCAGCCGGTGTGGGAGTTGCATGGCAGCGTGAGCTACCCAGGGTGTGGCTGGAAGGGGTGGGGTGCCCCTCAAAAAACAGGGGTCTTTCTCTGTAGTTCTGGAACCCGTAGTACTCCAAGAGTTGTCCCTGGGACTTCGTTGCTGGTCATTTGGACAGGGAGTGACAGGCATGAAGAGTTGGAGGCCAGGTCAGGGGGCCTAGGACTAATGCAAGATGCAGGATTTGGGGTCACGAGATACAAAGCCTTGCTTGTGCCCTTGACTTTGCCGGAACCCTCCCTTTCTTTAATCGCCCCTTCTCAGGCCTTTCTCACTGGTCCATTTTACAGACTAGAAAACAGAGAATGGCAGACAAAATGTTAGCTGCAGGTGTTAAAATAAGGTCTTGAGGTGGCAAGGCTCCCAACGGGGCGTTGCCATCTTTAATAAGGTTTCCTGTGGTCCCTGGCCCGACTGGGGAAGCTTTTAGGCACCCCTAGTCTCACCCTTTGCAGTAGGTTCTAGAGAGCTGAGCTGCGTGTGCAGCCGTAGCGAGTTTCCTCGCTTTTGCTGCAAAGCCTCAGTTTCCCTTTCTGTGAACTAAGTGTCTGAAATCCCAATATTGGGGAGAGGTGAAAATCATAAAACCAAAGATGGGCGCCCCGGCAAAAGCCTAGAGTTCAAAGTCTGCTCCGGGTCCTTTGTGGGCTCCTGGCTGCAAAAAAAAAAAAAAAAAACTGAGGAGCCAGAAGCAGCTGAGGAGGGAGGGCATCTCTCTGCCGGGGGCTCCCAGCACGCTCAGCGCTCCAGGAGCAGTTCCAGTTCAAGGCCCCTTGGGCCTGAAGAGGCCGCTCGGCAGTTGCCATGGGAACGGAGCGGGAGGGGGTTGGGCAGTCTCAAGGTGGGTTTCTGTGCATGGGGGGAGGAGGGTGCCAACTGGGAATGAGGTCTCTGGGTGGGGACTAAATGAGTTTGAGAAAGTTCTCTCCCCCCAACCTCGCCCCCCAGTCTCAACCTCTGAACACCTCCCTTCCCCTGGTACTGGTAAACTAGGTCATAAGGACCTCCTCTGGCTGGTGGCAGCTGGGAGGAGGAGCAGCCCCTCAGTCTGTCTCCTCCCTTCTCATCCCTGGCAGCAGCCTGTCCTGGTGTCTGGCTCCACAAGCTCTTGGGAGCGTGTGCCTACCTGGATTCACAATTCAGGGACTCAGGGAAGGGGTCTCCATCCCAGCAGGAGGGTTCACCCAGTCCTGTGGTTTCCACCTCCTGAATCCTTCCCCTGCCTCCCTTTCCTTTTATTACAAATCTAATCACCTTTCCTCTGGGATGCACAGCCTTGACCTGCAAATTATATTAAGCCTCTCAAAAATACACTCCTGGCATTTGGAGCCTCCTTCCTTAACATTTAGAGACATTCTGACATCCCTTTTAGAACTCCTTGGAAAACTCCTATCCATCCTTCAGTGTCCTTCTCCAACTCCATTTTTAAGCCTTTCCTGGTACCCTCAATTCCTGGGAAGGGCTCTTGGCTCCCATTCTTGCTCTGGAGCACACAGGTGATGTAAAGGAAGCCCTGTGTGTTGCCTGACAACTGAGGACAGGGCCTGTACCCTAAGGCACTGGGTCTCTCTGTGTATCCCAGGATGGTCTCAAACTCACCATCCTCCTGCCTCCACCTCCCAATATAAGAACTGGAAGCCAGGCAAGGTGGAACTGGCCTTTCATCCCAGCACATGGGAGGCAGAGGCAGGCAGATATCTGTGAGATAGAGACCAGCCTGGTCTACATAGCAAGTTCCAGGTCAGCTGGGGCTACAGGAAGACCTTGTCTGAAAAATAAATAGATGGTAGATGATTGATAGATAGCTAGATAGATAGCCAGATAGAAGATAGATAGATAGATAGATAGATAGATAGATAGATAGATAGATAGATAAAGAGCTGGTATCACAGGTGTATGCCACCCCACCTGGCATCCCCTTGTGGATATTTATTCCTCTCAGACCCATTATGAGCAGCGTTCTGAGTCTGCCTGTTGCTCTCTACTGTCTTCCATCCTTGGGTACCTGGGTTAGCTAGGCAAAAAGCTGAGTCCCATGATGACCAGTGACCCACTGTCTCTCACACCCATTGGCCCTAGGGACAAGCCCAGGGCTATTTCAGGGTTTGCCCTCTCCTTCCTCTGCCACAGTCTTGAAACTGCCAATGCCCTAAATATAGAGGCCCTACAAGTAGCCAGACCGGGCCAGTAGCCATTGGCCACTATCTTGGGGAAGGAAAGATAGGAGAAGCAGTTCATGACACAGGGTATCATTGGAGTAGAAAGAATTGGGAGGTGACAGGTCCCAGGAGCTAACTAATCAAGGACCACTATTGAGCTTAGGTCTTTACACCGGGTGTCAGCCCACTCTTGATGCTGTCCCCTCCCTCCCCCCGGTCCAGTACCCCAATCATCAATGGTCTGCCTACCTGGCTATGTTCTTATGTCTCAGCTTCTACCTACCCCTTGAACCTCACCATTCATTCATGCCTTCATTCATTTATTGAGCAAGGTAGTGCTGAGCTTGCAGCAATAAGCAAGAGCCCCTTAGGTTAGGCAACAGTAAGCAGGGCAGAGGGGATCCTGTGGTATGCCACATTACAGGCAGAAGCTGGACATCATGGCACATGCCGGTAACCCCAGTGCTTGGGAGGCTGAGGCAGGAGAATCTAGAGTTTTAGACTAGCCTGGGTTACAAAGAAAGACTCTGTTTCAAAGAAAGAAAACAAAAAAGACAGTCCAGTAGCTGGAGAGATGGCTCAGTAGTTAAGAGCACATACTGCTCTTACAGAGGACCTGAGTTTGGTTCCCAGTACCCGGGTTGGGCAGTTCACAACTGCTTGCATCTCCCACTTCAGAGGACCCAACCCCTTTTTCTGTATTCCACAGGCACTGCACTCACATGTGCACATACCCATCTGCAGATAGAAAAGATGACCCAGAGAGGTCTCATGTTACTGATCTTTGATGCTTGCTCTGACCTCCTTGTATAAATAAATATGTGTTCTGCTCCTGGGGTGCACTTAGGGCCTGATGGCTTCAGGCCTAGAGTCCCCCGGCTTTGGGCTGATGTGATGCAAGTTAGAATGCTTAGGGTGGAGGAGATCTTATGGGAAGAGAGGGTACCTGGGTGATTACAAGAGGGGCCACGATAGCACCAACATCTATGACCTTGTAGACACCTTGTAGACTCAATGAAGCTGCCCTGTGAGTTGGTATTATGCTTCTTACTTTGCAGATGCCAAATAGCCTGGGTAGATGTTTCCTGTTTTCAAGGAGGGCTTTTAACCTAAGTGGCACCCAGTGCCCCAAGGGCCTCATTCAAAAATTGGGAAGTTGGGCTGGAGATAACTCAGTTGTAGAATATTGCCTAGAATCCCCCAGTGAGGGGCCGGGGGTGTGCCTCAGTGGTAGAGCACCTGCCTAGAATCTCCCAGTGAGGGCCTGGAGGGGCTTGGCTCAGTAGTAGAGCCCTCGTCTAGAATTTATGAAGCCCTGGGTTCATCTTCTGTAAAAATAAATACTGGGAAGTAGAAGTTGGAATTCCCCCCTGCCTCCATCATGTAAATGTACTTCCTTTTTTATGGATATCAGGGACAGTTCTAAGGACAGTCACATACCCACTCTTTTTGGTCAGTACCCTGACAACCACATGAGCCCCACAATGTGAGACAGATGGGAGGTCCTGGGTTTGCTTTCCCTAGCCTACCTTCCCCAGAGGGTTGGGAGCTCAGGAAGATAGATTAATGTCTTCATTCATTCATTCATTCATTCATTCATTCAATGACTCCTTGCTTCTTGTCTCTGGCCAAGCCCTGTGCTGAGAGACAGACATGGTTCCCATCCTCAGGTAGCTCATAGCCCATGGGGGAGACAGGTGATGGCGGTGCCTGGGATAAGAAGGAACAAAGTGAGGTAGGGGGGATCCCAGGGAAGCCCTTATAACTGTGTCTCAGGGTAGGGTTCTCACAGGAGAGGACTGGGGGGCATTCTGGATAGCAGGGACTGAGGGGTAAAGGCTCAGAGGGGAGTATTGAGGTTAGCGTCTGATATTGAGGATAGGGGTGTTTAGGAGCTGTCTGGACTATGATGCGGAAGACTGGACATGAAGCAAAGGGTGGGAAAGGAACGGTGAGGGGCGGCCCCAACCCTGTGCTTGGACAGGAAAGCAAGTGTAGTGCCCTGTTCCTTGATCATCCCCTCCCAGGTGAGAGTGGGGACCCGAGTTCTGAAGCCTTTGGTCTCCAGTCCCTGGAGGCGGTGCTTGAGGTCTACACTGCCTTCTTCTGGGGACCCCGAAAGACCGCTGTCTGAGAGACCCGGCCCCCAGCCGGTATCCACGCCAAAGCTGCCTTAAGCCTAGGCTCCAAAGCTTTCCACAAGCCCCGCCCCTAGCAAGCCACCCACAGTCTTGGTCCCACCCCAGCAGGCTTCCCAACCCCAGAAAGCAGTTCCTCTTTGACCACAGCCCGAGATGGTCTCTCAAGGCCCCATCCAGGTCCCCGCCCCAGCTTGCCACAAAACCTGATCCCCAGAGTGGTTCTTCTTTCAGGAGGCTTTCCCTGCAGCCAGTCCCTCCTCCAGGACCCTCCCAGCAAAATTCCCTCCGTCCCACCCTATCACTTTGCCTAGCTCTACCCCCAAGCCTGGTAAGAACCGGCCCTAGCGCGGCCCTCAGGCCAGATTGGAACTTGCTTCAGCCTGGCCCCCAGCACCTTCGCAGACTCCCTCAGGGAGGCCTCCCATTAGCCCCAACCTAAGTCGTGCCCCCAGCAAGTTTCCCTTTCACCCACCCCCAACCTGGTCCCCTTCGCATTTCCCACCAACCCCATCCGTCCCCCTTCTGTCTTGCAGCACCGGCAGCAGTGACCCCTACTGCATCGTGAAGGTGGACAATGAGTCCATCATCAGGTACTGTCCCCAACCTGAGCAGAGGGCAGCTAACCTCCCTTACCTAGCCACCTGCTCCTCCAGGAGATGGGCAGTGCTGGGAGTCACTAGTCTGTCTGGACCATCCATCCTGTCCCAGCTCTTAGCTCTGAAATACACCTGTAATATACCTTGCTAATTATTGACTTAAAGGCCATCTTACCGCAGGTGGCCAAGCATCTGTCACCTGCCTCTGTTCATCTTTGCAAACTTTACAACCTCGAGAGAATTTGATGACCAGCTACAACATGGTCATTTGATGGAGCACTGTCTCCACCACTGTGAACCTTTTATCAGCTGGTAGAATTCACTACAGCAGATAATGTATCATAATCCTCATTTACAGTTGGAGAAACTGAGGCTTAGACTATATACTTGCCCAAGGGCTCACACCTAAAATACTGACAAACTCAGACAGGAAGTAAAGTCTGGCTGACCTCAGAACTTTGCCATGCTCTGATTTGGGGCTCTTCCTGGGAGAGCCTCACAGAGATTATCCTTCAATCAGGGTGACCCCAGCCTGTCCCCAGAAGGCTACTGGCTCTGGATGTCCTTTCTGTCAACTCCATGATTTCTTCATAATTTTTTGCCTTTATTTATTTTTCTAGTGGGTGGGGTAGAGTGTGCCACAAATTAGGGGTGGAGGTCAGAGAACAACTTTCAGGAGTCGGTTCTCTTCCTCCACCATGGGGTTCCATGGATCAAACTCAGGTCTGTCGGGCTTTGTGGCAAGCTCCTTCAACCCGCTGAGACACCTTGCCACTCTCCTATGATTTCTGGTCTGATTTTTGCTGGCTTATCCCATCTATCACCCAGACCCCAGTCTCTGAAGTCATGACCAGAACCTCTGGGCTGTAGTACTCACCTGAGCAGATGTTTCTATTGCTGAACACCCCACAAACACCGCCCCCCGTCCTCTTTTCTATCTGCAAGATAAGCCTGAACATAGCCTTTATTTAAGCCACAGTCAGTAAACAGGGAGAGGGATATGGTGACTCTGACTGTCCCTTACATACAGAGAAACTGAGGACACAGTGTCTTCATGGCCTGAGAGGTAGTGACCCCCTGAGCCTCCATCCGGGCCACTGGCAGCCTCACCTCCCATCCCAAGTGCCTTGCTGAATCCCATGAGCTGACTGACTGCTCTTCTGGGAGTGAGATCTCCATAGTGCCCCTGTCCTATGGATGGCTTGGAGCCAGCTACTGCCAACTGTGGCCTCAGTTTCCCCAAAATGTACAATAGTGCATGCCCCATTCAGGGCAGAGGGGAAGGAAAATGGGAAAGAAGCATCCCACCATAAGCTACTACTAGGGTACAAAATGCAAAGAAGGTGGGTGTGGCTTGGGCCCGTGCTGAGGGGTCTTCTCCTGTAGAACAGCCACCGTGTGGAAGACCCTGTGCCCCTTCTGGGGTGAAGAGTATCAAGTGCATTTACCCCCCACGTTCCACGCTGTGTCTTTCTATGTTATGGATGAGGATGCCCTTAGGTGAGTCTGTCCTGCCCCGAAACTGGGCCAGGATGTGGCCATTGCAGTGACTGCTGGTCCCTTTGTATCCTCTTTGTAGCCTAGATACCAGGGGGGCGGGGTGAAGGGGAGGTATCCAAAGGAACCAGGAAGAGGCAGGGCTGAGCTGTGTGTATGTATACATATGGTGCACACACATGTATGCATGTGCATGTGTGCATGTATATAAGCACAGGTGTGCATGGGACATAAGCTATGAAACGGGCATGCAGAGGACATGAGTTTGGCCTGTGTTAGTTCACATGCAGACACATGTCATGTACCTATGAGAGCATCTACAAACAGCCTGTACAAGCATCCTGGGTTCTGCTTTGTTAGACTGCTTCCTCGAGGGTGGGGACTGAGTTTGTAGGAGTGAAGTCACTGGGCTCCCAGAAGCTGGTCCCAAAGCCCAACTGGGACTCTCTCTCCACCCATAGCCGGGACGACGTTATTGGGAAGGTCTGCCTCACAAGGGACACCCTGGCCTCTCACCCAAAGGGTAAGATGTCCACCTCCCACTCTCCCACTGGTCTACTTAGCCCTGGGCACTCCTTCCACTCAATCCAGTTCCTATTCTCTGTGAGGGTCCTCTCCTCTCAGCTTGAGGAGTTGGCCTGATGCTATTCCAGGCTGCAGGGTCAACTTGGACTATTTCCAGAAAATGAACATCGGTAGAGGTGTCAGCTCTACCACGGCCTAACTGAGTGACCCCAGACAGGTCTTGATTTCTCTAGGCTTTTCAGATGGCTCAGCCCAAGAGCTCTTGGGTGCCTTTGGGCTCTGCCACCTGAGCCTCTGACCCTTCTCCTCTCTTGCCCCAGCGCACACCTGCTCCTGTCTGTGAGACAGGGTGGGGATGAGGGGGTGGCAGGCTCTGCTGACTCACGGAGCCTTCTGACACAGCCAGGCCAGTGACCTCCCCTGCTACAGCCCCAGCAGTCTAGGGGCCCCATTGGTGCTGTTCTTTGGCGGGGGCATCTCTTATAGTTCCCCCATCTGCCCTTTAAGGCTCTTCCTTCTAGCACCCTGGAGGGAGCCACCAGCCTCCTATTTTAAATTTATTTATTTATTTTTATTTTGTGTGTTTTGCATGCATGTTTATAAATGCACCCATGTCATGCAATGCCTAAGGAGGCCAGAAGAGTGTGCCAGATCCCCAGGAACTGGAGTTACAGATGTTGTTAGTTGCCATGTAGGTGCTAGACACCAAACCCAGGTCCTCTGCCAGAGCAGCCAGTGCTCATAACCACTGTGCCATTTCTTCAGCTCTTGTCTTTTTATTTATTTATTTATTTATTTATTTATTTATTTATTTATTTAGTCTTTTTGAGAAAGGCTCTCCCTGTAGCCCCAGCTGGCCTGAATTCACTACAGAGACCAGGCTGGCCTCGAACTCACAGAGATCCGCCTGCCTTTGCCTCCCGAGTGCTGGGATTAAAGGCATGCGCCACCATGCCCGGTCCCTTGTCCTATTTTAAAAAAATATTTATTTATTATTTTTATTTTATGTGTATGAGTGTTTTGCTTGCATGTGTATAAGTGCAACACATGCATGCAATGGTCTGCAAAGGCCAGAAGAGGGCATCAGATCCCCTGGAATTGGAGTTATGGATGGTTGTTAGCCACCATGTAGTTGCTAGGAATCAAACCTGGTTCTTCTGGGAGAACAGCAAATGTTCTTAACTGCTGAGCCATTTCTCCAGCCCCCCACCACTTCCTATCTTTTAAGGTGGGAAAACCAAGGACAGAGGGGAGCAGTTGCACATCCTGTGGGAGTTTGGAGCTCCAAATAGAGTCTGGTGCCAGAGTGAATGCCTAGGACCTGGGGCACTGACTAAAACTCCAATCTCAAGATGAATGTGGTGGCACACACCTGTGATCCCAGCACTTGGGAGGCAGAGGCAAGATCAGGAGTCCAAGGTCATACTCAGCTTCATAGCGAGTTTGAGACAAAAAATAAAAATAAAAGATTGAGCCAGGCGTGGTGGCGCATGCCTTTAATCCCAGCACTCGGGAGGCAGAAGCAGGCAGATTTCTGTGAGTTCAAGGCCAGCCTGGTCTACATAGTGAGTTCCAGGACAGCTGGGGCTACAGGGAGACCCTGTCTCAAAAAGACCAAAAAAATCAAAATCAAAATCAAAACAAAAACTAAAAGATTGAGGAGATGGCTCAGTGCATAAGAGCACTTGCTGTGAAAGCAAGCCATCCTGAGCTCACATCCCCAGAATCAGAATATAAAAGCCAGGCATGGCCACTTGTGACTGTAACGCCAGCCCCGGGGGTGGGGGGCAGAGACAGGCAGATCCTGGGAGTGCACTAGCCAACCTCAAAAATAAGGTGGAGGGAGGGCTGGAGAGATGACTCAGTGGTTAAGAGCACTGACTGCTGTTGCAGAGGATCCAGATTTGGTTCCCAACACCCAAATAGTGGCTAACAATCACACGTAACTCCAAGTTCAGGGGATCTGATGCCCTCTTCTGGCCTCTGCAGGCATTGTACACATGTGGTGTACTTAAATACACACAGGTAAAATACTTATACACATACGATCTTTTTGTTTGTGTCTTTTTTTTTTTGAGACAGGATCTCCCTGTAGCTCCAACTGGCCTGGAACTCACTATGTAGACCTGGCTGGCCTTGAACTCACAGAGATCTGCCTGCCTGTGACTCCCCAGTGCTGGGATTAAAGGTGTGTGCCACCATGCCCAGCTTATACAGTCTTTTTTAAAAAGATGGAGAGTGATTAAGGAAGACACTCAGCATCCTGTTCTAACCTCCATATGCCTGGGCAAACAACCCTCCCCCACCCCCCGCATGCACACACACATTTGTATACACCATACACACACACACACACACACACACACATACACACAAACACACATGCACACACAAACACACACAACACACACAAAAGTAAATCTCAGCTTTTCCAACTCCTGCCCACCTTTGAGCCTCAATTTCCCCATACATCATTGGAAATACTCAGAGGATTTCAAAGGGGTGATGAAGGAGCCATGGGGTGTCTGGTGGGTCTTAGGATGAAGGGTGTGGGGAGGGTAGGTTGGCTGACATGAAGCCCTGCAGGATTCAGTGGATGGACGCACCTGACAGAGGTGGACCCGGATGAGGAGGTGCAGGGTGAGATCCACCTGCGCCTGGAAGTGGTGCCAGGGATCCGTGCCAGTCGACTGCGCTGTTCTGTGCTGCAGGCCAGGTGAGGTGGGCTGGGAGGGGGAAGTAGGGATCCTGTTTGTAGGGCTTGGGCCTCCTCTCCCTCCTCCTCTCACCCAAGCCTGCTCTCAAAGAAAAGGGTTGCTTGTCTTGACTCTGAGACATGGCCTGGGTGTCCTCTCTTTGAAATGTGGCCTTCAGGAAACAGGTGATCTTTTGTTTTGACATGAATTTTCTTTTTTTGAATTTTTTTAAACTTTATTTTTATTTTATGTGTATGAGTGTTTTGCCTGCATGTGTGTACATGAATCCATATGTGCAATGCCTGTGGAGGCCAGAAGAGACTGTCAGATCCCCCTGTAACTGGATTAGGGATGGTTGTTAGTCACCATGTGGGTGCTGGGAACCAAACTTGAGTTTTCTGCAAAAACAGCCAGTGCTCTTAACCACTGAGCCGTCTCTCCAACCCCTTGAATGTTCTTTTTTGAGACAAGGTTTCATGTCACCCAGGTTGGCCTTGAACTCACTATGTAGCCAAGGATGACCTTGAACTTCTGATCCTCCTGCCTCCACCTCCTGAATGCAGAGATTATTGGCGCAACACGTGTCACCATATTGGGTTTCTGCTGTGCTGGGAATCAAACCCAGGGCAAGCAATGGCAGCTGAGGCACATCTCCAGCCTCCCCATCTTTTTGTTTTGAGACATAGGGTCCCTCTAGCCCCAGCTTGCTATGTAAATCAGGCTAGCCCAAACTCACAGAGATATCCTACACCTGCCTCTTAAATGCTGGAATTAAACACATATGCCATCACACCCACCTCTGTGGGATTTTAAAGAACTATTTTATTGCCGGGCATGGTGGTGCATGCCTTTAATCCCAGCACTCAGGAGGCAGAGGCAGGCGTATCTCTGTGAGTTCAAGGCCAGCCTGGTCCACATAGTGAGTTCCAGGACAGCTGGGGCTACAGGGAGACCCTGTCTCAAAAAGACCAAAAGAAACATTATTTTTATTTTATGTGTATGAATATATTGCCTGTATGTATGTAAGTGCACCTGAGTTGTGTAGTGCCCATGGAGTCCAGAAGAGGGTGTTGGACTCCCTGGAACTGGAGTTACAGACAGTTGTTAGCCACCATCTGGGTGCTGGGAACTGAACTCAGGACCTCTCTAAGAGCAGCCAGTGCTTGTAACCGCTGAGCCATCTCTCCAGCCCCAATCTCTTTTGATTGGGCGGGGGGGCTGGTTGTTTTTGGTCTTTTTGAGTCAGGGTCTCCCTGTATCCTCAGTTGACCTGGAACTTGCTATGCAGACCAGGCTGGCCTCAAATTCACAGAGATCCACCTGCCTCTGCTCACAAGTGTCTGTTTGTTTTTAAGTAACCCAGACTAGCCTCAGACTCAGGATCCTCCTGCCTCACCCTCCCAAGTGATGGCATTGCAAGGAACTTCATCATGTCTAGCCAGAAATGTTGTTCTAAAGGTGGAACTGTAGACCCCAAAGAGCAGAAGAGGAACTGGGGTGTGGGTGACCTTCAACTGTACTCAGACCACCCCAGTGTCCCGGTGCTAGGTTTCCCTTTAGCTACCCTCAATATGAACTGGGCCTGGAGGATGTGTGTGGTATGTCTGTATATGTGTGGGTATGTGTATATGTGGATGTGTGGATGTGTGTTGTATATATACATGTTGTGTATATGTTTGTCATGAGATGTGTATGTGCATGGTATGTATATATGCTTATATATGTGTGTTGATGCTTGTGTGTGTGTGTGTGTGTGTGTGTATGTGTGTGTGTATGTGTTTATGTATGGTCTTCCATAGGGTCGGAAGGGAAAATGTTGGTGTGTCCAGACAGTGTGTGGTGATGAGACGGTGACCTGGATGGATCTTGGGCCTGAGTCACCTGTGACAGAGCCAGCCCCCAACTATAGGGTATTTTTAGCTACTGGCCCCACTTCTGTCTGGGCCTGGGTGTGACTCAGACCCTCCTTGAGAGGCGCCTTCCCTTCTGGCTCCAGGCTCCTCCCTAGAGTCTGTCCCTGGGACCAGTGGTCAGTCCCAAGCCAGGCATCTCTGCAGAGGAAGTGGAGTGTACTCCCCCCAACCCTAGGGCAATTAGCCTGTCCGGGAGGAAGAGACCTCTCTGGTAAATGAGGGGTGTGTGCTTCGTGATGGACACTTTGGGCATCCTGTGGCTGCCCCCAGCTTATTTTCTCTCTGAGACTGGAGCCATGAGAACTGGCAGAGCCACAGTCCATCCTGTTCCTTCTCCCTTTCAGTCAGCTCCCCCTGCCCACCTCCATCGACCTCCTCATCCTTGCCTGGCCCCAGGCTGTCTGGGCACTGTATTGCAAACAATGCCAACCGTGGGACCTTGGCACTTCTCTCAAACACCATCCCCACTCATCAAGATGGGTAACACTAAAATACAGGCCCCCAGCTCCCCCTTCCCTCCAAGACTCCACGAATGATCATGGTGGGGGAAGGGGAGAGTTGTCATTCAGTAAGCCAGTGTGCAACAGCTGGATAAGCCCAGGCATTCCTAGCTTGCTGTGGTGACCTCGCAGTGAAGACAGGCTACAGGAGCGGGGCCTCAGGTAACAAGCCAGTAATCCCATCTCCATCCCACCACCAGAGACTTAGCTTCAAAAGACCGAAATGGTGCATCTGACCCTTTTGTCCGAGTACACTACAATGGCCGGACCCAGGAGACCTCGGTAAGCCGACTGGTGGACTGGAGCAGTGCAGGTGGGCACAGGTAGACTCACAAACAACTTCCAATCAGATTTTATTATCTCTCTGAATATCTATCTTGGTGGCAGAGGTTTGGGGGAGCCTGTCGAGATCTGGCTCTTCAATGCAGTCTGTTTTGCTGTTTGACCTTGGACAAGTCCCTTGCCCACTCTGGGTCTCAGTTTTTCCATTTGTGAAGTGTATGATGTCTTAGGAAGTTTTTCTCCAATACTAGAGATTGAATTTTAGCCTCTCAAAATCAAGTACTGTACCACTGAGCCACGCCTGCAGCCCCTCACTGAGGGAGTCTAGGCAAGTGTTCTACTACCGACTCACATTCCCAGCCCATTTCCATTTTTATTTTTGAAGCATAGTCTCACTTAGTTGCCCAGGCTGGCCCAGAACTCACTTAGTAACCCAGGCAGGCCTTAAACTTTGACCCGTTCTTCCTCCTGAGTAGCTGGGGTGACAGACTCGCCCCACCACTTCTGGCTGGACCCAGAAGTTTTTACCTTTGTTCCTACAAAACCAGGGGCAGCACTGCCATTTTCCAGTCCTGGAAAGCCCTATGAACTGATGCCCATGCCTGCCTCCCCCTTTCTGGGCAGGTGGTAAAGAAATCCTGCTACCCACGCTGGAACGAGACATTTGAATTTGAGCTGGAGGAGGGATCCCCAAAGGCGCTGTTCGTGGAGGCCTGGGACTGGGATCTGGTTAGCAAGAATGACTTCCTAGGCAAAGTAAGTGTCAGCCCCAAGCCCCACCTGCCCAAGCTCCACCCACCACCCACAGCACCAGGTGCCCATTCCTGTCAAGCCATCCTCCACTTTCCCAGAGAGAAAAACTTAAGAGCCTTCTAAATAGTAGCTCCCTCTCACTGGTGAGCTGTGACCCTTGCAAGGTACCCTTCGACCTGAGGAGAACAATACTTAAAGCTAGGGCCTGGTGGCTCAGGCCTGTCGTCCCAGCTATTTGGAAGGCAGAGGCAAGAAGCATTATTTCAAGGACAGCTTGCACTGCAGAGTGAAATCAAGGCCGGTCCAAGCTGCTTAGGAAGACCCTGTCTCAAAATAAAAAGTAAGCTAGGTATGGCAGCACTCCCAGTACTTGAGAGTCTGAGGCAGGAGAATTGCTGCAAGTTTTAAGCCAGCCTGGGCTACATAGTGAGTGTCTCAAAAAGTGAAAAATCAAGCCAGGTGGTGCACACCTATGTTCCCAGCACTTGGGATGTGAAGACAGGGGGATCAGTAGTTCAAGGCCAGCCTGGGCTACATGAGACCTTGTCTCAAAAAAAGAAAGCAAGGAAGAAAGGAAGGAAAAGGTCACTGCGAGCTGATGGTGTGGCTCACTGGTAGACCACTTGTCTAGAATCTGACAGTGAGGGGCTGGGGGTATAGTTCAGTGGTAGAGCACCTGCCTAGAATCCCCCCAATGAGGGGCTGGGGGTATAGTTCAGTGGTAGAGCACCTGCCTAGAATCCCCCCAATGAGGGGCTGGGGGTATAGTTCAGCAGTGGAGTGCTTGCCTATCATCTATGAAGCCTTGGGTTCCATCCCCTGCTCCAAAAAAAAAAAAAAAAAAGAGCAGGATCTGGCCAAGAGGTAACCTGCATGTCCCAGCCCTTGTCTGACCATCCCTCAGGTTGTCGTCAATGTCCAGAGACTGCGTGCAGCCCAACAGGAAGAAGGATGGTTCCGACTGCAGCCTGACCAATCCAAAAGCAGGAGGGGCGAGTGAGTGCCAGCAGCGGGCCCTGGGGTGGGCACTGTGACAAAATGGCTACAGGCAGCTCGTTGGTCAGAAGCCAAGGGTACACAGCCCCATGTGCCCTTCACCCTTTTCCCACTAGACCAGCATCTTCCTCATCCAGGTAGGACCCTATTCCTCCCCTTTCACACATCCCTGTCCTCTGAGCTAAAAGTTATGCATGAGCCTCCTGCTTTGTACTTTCTGGCACTTTCTAGAAGAATCCTCAGACTCTTTTCCTTTAAGGGCTTCCCTGTAGACCTCAAATCCTTAGAAAGAGTGTCCCAGGGCCATATTGTGAACCCTCCTTCCTCAAGATTCTCCCAGGATAGCATTACCATATAAAAAGCAAAATGGGGGCCGGGCATGGTGGCCCACGCCTTTAATCCCAGCACTGGGGGGGGGGGGCAGAGCAGATCTCTTTGATATGGAGGCCAGCCTGATCTACATATCAAGTTCCAGGCCAGCTGGGGCTACAGTGAGACATTGTCTCAAAAGAAAAAAATTGTTATGTCTTTATCAACTATATACACAAAATGGTTGTGCGTATAGTTCTGTGGTCCAAGACCAGAACACCTTGTGCTGGCAAAATGGCTTAGTGGGTAAAGGCACTTGTCACCCAGCCTAAGGACCCGAGTTCCATCCCTAGAACCCACATGGTGGGAAAGAGAGAACCAATTCTTTTATGTTGTCTTCTGACTGTCACACATGCTCTGTATACACACACACACACACACACACACACACACGACACCAGAAGTCAGGTGCAATGGCACACATCGCTGGCAAAATGGCTTAGTGGGTAAAGGCACTTGTCACCCAGCCTAAGGACCCGAGTTCCATCCCTAGAACCCACATGGTGGGAAAGAGAGAACCAATTCTTTTATGTTGTCTTCTGACTGTCACACATGCTCTGTATACACACACACACACACACACACACACACACGACACCAGAAGTCAGGTGCAATGGCACACATCTGTAATCCCAGCACTCCAATCTAGAATTGAAGGTTAGTTGGGGACACATACCATGACCCTATCTCAAAACTAAATTTCAGCTGGTTGTGGTGGCACATAACTTTAAATCTCAGCACTAGGGATGCAGAGGCAAGCAAATCTTTGTGAGTTTGAGGTCAGCCTGGTCTACATAGTGAATACTAGGTCACCTGAGGCCAGTCAAAATAAACAAAAACCAAACACTTGAATTTCAGATAAATAATAATTTTTTTGAGACAGCATCTCATGTAGCCCAAGATGGCATCGAACCTGCTATTTGACCAAAAAAATGACTTTGAACTCCTGATCCTCCTCCCTCTACCTCTTGAGTGCTAGGATTATAGACGTGCACCAACCATGAAAGGTTTATGCGGTGTTGGGGATGGAACCCAGGGATTCATCTATGCTGGGTGAGTACTCTATTAACTGAGCTATGTCCCAACTCCAATGAATTTTTTTTAGTGACAAAATGACCATGAAAGCCAGGCAATGTGGCACACACCTGTAATCCCAGGTTGAGGCAGGAGATTCTAGAGTTCCAAGCCAGCATGAGGCTACAAGATGAGATCTTGTCTCAAAGGAAAAAAAGCCTATGTAATAGTCAAGTCATGTTTATACTAAAAGTTCTTTAACTGGGTGTCTTGTGTTTTTAAAAATTTTTTTTAATTTTAATTTTTATTTTATTAATTATTTTTGTTTTATGTGTATGAGTGTATTGCCTGCATGTATGTGAGTGCACCCGTGTCGTGCAATGCCTCAGAGGTCAGAAGAGGGCTTCAGATTCCCCTGGAACTGGAGTTAAGGATGGTTTGTAGCTGCCATGTAGATGTTGGGAATCAAACCCGGGTCCCCTGCTAGAGCAGTCAGTGCTCTTAACCACTAAGCCATCTCTCCAGCCCCCTATTATTTTTATTTTACGAGTATGAATTGTTTTGCCTACATGTGTGTAAGTGCTCCTGTGTCATGCAATGCCTGCAGCAATCAGAAGAGGGCATTGGATTCTCCTGGAACTGGAGTTACAGACGTTGTTAGCCACCATGTGGGTGCTAGGTATCAAACCTGGGTCTTCTGCAAGAGCAACCAGTGTTCTTAACTGCTGAGGCAGCTCTCTGGCCCCGTGTCTTGTGTTTTTATTTTGTTCAATCTGGCAGCCCCACATAGAAAGTTGTTTGACTTGTTTCTTAATTACTTATTTTTATGTGTATAGTGTTTTGCCTACATGTATGTAAGTGTACCACATATATACAATGCATGTGGAGGCCAGGGGAGGGTATCAGATCCTCTGGAACTGTAGTTACAGACAGTTGTTAGTCGCAATGTGGGTGCTGAGAACCAAACCCAGGTCCTCTGCAAGAGCAGCCAGTGTTCTTAACCACTGGGCCATCTCTCCAGCTCCTCATTTCTTATTTTTGTTTTCTTCACATGCCTAGACTGATCTCTCTGCAAAAAGCACCATATCCCCAATCTGTACTTTTTACAGGGCAGGGACAGGTGGCCAGGGGTGTCCATCCCAAGGCATAGAAGCATCCCAGGACACTCTTGATGGCTTCAGTACATGGGGTGTGTCCCAAACGGTGTGACTTTCTCAGCGTGGCATGTGGAGGGCAGTGGGAGCCATAAAGATCATTGAGCCTTAGTGCCCTCTCCAAGATGAGTAGTAATAAGAAAGTTTGGCAGTTAGACCTACTAGGTTGAGTTGCCCAACCTGCTTGAATCTAAGTTTTCCTGACAGGATGGGCATTTGCTTTCTAGATAAAGAGTATAAGCAACGGCGTTGTTGCCTAGGAGTTTATAGATTTGGGATCAGAGAGCCTGGCATACCCACAAGTTCAGTGGTCCACTGGAGTCAGGAGGCAGCAGGGAACTAGGCTTTGAAGATGTATGGGGATTCCTTGGGTACCAAGGCAGGGAGGATCTTCCAAACAGAGAAGACAGAAAGGTGAATCTGGGTGTGTTGGGGGGTGGGCAGGGCAGCTGATGGACAGAGCAGGGATAACACAAAGCTAATCACAAGGGAAAAAGGCCTAAGGCAGTGTGAGTGGGCATGGTTTGGGATACTGGGTCCTGGTCTGGGATACTGGGTTCCTGGTAGAGAGATCACAGACCTCCCATTCCAGGGGCAACCTGGGCTCCTTGCAGTTGGAGGTGCGGCTGCGGGATGAGACGGTGCTGCCATCCAGCTGCTACCAGCCTCTGGTACAGCTGCTGTGCCGGGAGGTGAAACTGGGCACCCAGGTGAGGAGGCCCTGGGGGAAACTGGAAGCCTCCCTGGTTTGTAGAGCAGTTCATACCTGTCCCAAACCCATTCTCTAGAATAGCAAACAGACTCCTGGGGATGGGAAGGAGATAACCAGTGGTCCAGAGCCCCATCCTGCCCCCAGCCAACCTTCCCATGGTGCTCTGAGGTTCTGACACTGGGAAGAGTCAGGTTTCCTTGTGGTTCTCCCAATCCTGCCTCTCCCTGATGCTTCCAACAGGACCCAGGGCAGCTGATCCCCATCATTGAGGAGACAACTAGTGCTGAGTGTCGCCAGGAGGTGGCCACCAACCTGCTCAAGCTCTTCCTGGGACAGGGGCTGGCCAAGGACTTTCTGGACCTGCTTTTCCAGTTGGAGCTGGGCCGCACTAGTGAGACCTGAGAAGAGTTGTCCCAGGCAGGGTGGAGGGTGTCCTCCCCAACAGGTTGACAGCTCCCTCCCCAAACAAAAGGAGTTGAGGGAAAGGACAAACAGTAGAGGTGGGACAGTTGGGAAGAGTTAAGGAGGTTCTTTACTGAGGGGCCACTTAGAGACTACAACACAGAGGTCCCAGGTCCTCCTTCTGCCCCCAAAGCCTTGTCCCAGCTCCCCACCCAGTGGAACTTCTGCTTGTAGGTGAGGCCAACACCCTGTTCCGTAGCAACTCTCTGGCCTCAAAATCCATGGAATCTTTTCTGAAGGTAAGGTGGCATGGTCATCTAATAGTTGACAATTTTTCACTCTTTTATGCATGTATGCATGCATTTATTCATGCATGCGCACATACTTTCATTCATACATGCATTCATTCACACATGTATGTGTGCATTCGTTCATGGAGAAGCAGTGCATTGAGTCACCCAGGTTGTTCATCTGGTCCAACCCTGGGCAGATACTGCATGGTAATTAGTGTGGTTTATGGTGGCTCCCAGGTGGCAGGGATGCAGTATCTGCATGGCGTCCTGGGCCCCATCATTGACAGGGTGTTCGAAGAAAAGAAGTACGTGGAGCTGGACCCCAGCAAAGTGGAAGTTAAGGATGTAGGGTGAGGCTGGGTTAATTCATGGCTGTGTAACTGTGGGGAATCAGGCTCTGTGTGCAAGTGTTTATGGTTCTTTCTGTCTATGTCCATGTCTCCTCTATCTTCTTTCCGCACTGTTATGCAGGTGCTGACCCCTCTATCCACCAATTCCATCCATGCAGGTGCTCCGGGCTGCACCGCTCACAGACAGAGTCTGAAGTGCTGGAGCAGAGTGCACAGACGCTGCGCGCCCACTTGAGGGCACTGCTGAACGCAATATGTCGCTCGGTTCGCGCATGCCCAGCTGTGGTCCGCGCCACTTTCCGCCAGCTGTTCCGGCGCGTGCATGAGCGCTTCCCCAATGCCCAGCACGAGGTGCGGCCCGGGTCTGCAGGACCGAGGCCCAGGGGAGAAAGGGAACCCTGGGAAATGCAGGCCTTGGAAGGCAGATATCCAGGAGATACGGTAATGAGTCAACAGGGAGGAGGGCATCGACAGGAAGTACAGCCCCCACGTTTTTCCCCTTTCCAGAACGTGCCGTTCATCGCTGTCACCAGCTTCCTGTGTTTGCGCTTCATTTCCCCCGCCATCATGTCGCCCAGACTCTTCCACCTGCGAGAGCGGCATGCGGATGCCCGCACCAGCCGCACATTACTCCTGCTGGCCAAGGTACGGGCCTGAGATGGGGAGGGAAGGCCAGTTGGGCTGCATAGGGGCCCTGGCCAACCCTGCACGGTGGCCCTGATTGGCAGTGGGAAGGCTTTGCAGCAAGGCTTTTCATTCACCATGGCTCTGCACTGCGCAGTTTTCAAAGTGTTCTCATGCTCACCTTCAGTGAGCTCCATCTCAGTGGATAAGGCACCAAGGTCTGTGTAGTGAACTGAAATCTTCCAATTCAAGCCTTGCCAGATGTGTTAGCATACACCTTTAATGACTCCAGAGGCCAGCCTGGTCTGCATAGTAAGCTCCAGGTCAGCCAGGGCTACATAGTAAGATCTTGTCTTAAAAAAAAAAAAAATTAACTTGTCTTTTAAATTTATTTATTTATTTAATGTGTATGAATATTTTGCTTGCGTGCCTTTAAGTGTACCCATCTCGTGCAATGCTTGTGGAGGCCAGAAGAAGGCACTGGATCCCCTAGAACTGGAGTTGTTAGCCACCATGTGGGTGCTGGGAACTGAACCCTGGTCTCCTGAAAGAGCAGTCAGTGACTCTTAACCACTGAGCCATTTCTCCAGCCCCAGCTCAAGCCTTATTCTCAAGCCTGTATCTATCTGCCCAGCACAAGGCTGGGGCCCTTAGAGTAGCACAACATTCATATTAAACATGCAGAGCCAGCAAGGTGGCTCAGGGGGTAAAGATAACTGCTAACCAAGCCTGACGACCTGAGTTTGACCCCCAGGCCTTGCATGGTGGAAGGAGTGAACCAGTTTCCACAAGTAGTCCTCTGACCTGCAGTCTCCTTCCAATAATTAATAATAACCTCGCAGAGGAAGGCAAAAAGGTTGATCTCAAGTTATCAGGTGCCCAGACTGTCAGATGCTGTGATCCATGTATCTCTGATCCCCCAGGGGTCCAGGATAGGCCTTTGTGTGCTCAGCCTCCATCTCTATTGTTAGGGTGGGGTGGGGTGCAGTGACTGGATTGTTAACTCCCAAAGCTTCATTGATCTTGCTGTCACCCCCACCAGGCGGTCCAAAATGTGGCTAACATGGATACGCCAGTTTCCAGGGCCAAAGAAGCATGGATGGAGCCACTGCAGCCCACCGTGCGCCAGGGTGTGACGCAGCTGAAGGACTTTATCATGAAGCTCGTGGGCATAGAAGAAAAAGAAGGTACGGACTAACAATGTCATGCCCGAGGCCTATGTTCAAAACCCAGGGTTTTGTCTTTAGTAGGCAAACACTCTGCCAGCTAAGCTACCCAGCCCTCTTCGCTCTACCTCTGGACCCACAGCCCTGCTCACTGCTGACCACAGCATCCTGTTTCTGCTTACCTCCCCTCTCCCAATCTATGACACTACCCACCATTGCCCACAGCCTCCTGGTCTTGTTCACCTTGCCCTCTGCCCATGGCTCCTCCCATTGCTGCTTGTGTCCCAAAGCCCCGCCCATCATTACCCAGATCTCCAATTCCTACCCCCCTACTGCTGCCCACTGGCTCCGCCCACCAACTCATGCCTCCACGTACTGCTTTCTTGTTTCTCTCAAAGACCCACCCATTGCTACCCAGGTCCCCAGTCCATGTTTCCGCTATCCCACCACCTTTCATAGCCTCTTCATAGCCCCCATCCCATGGCTCCACCCTCTTGTGCTTCTGTCTTTCCTAGCCCCACTCACCTCTGCCTAGGACTGTTCAGGTGTGCTCTGCCCCTGGGTCTATAGTCCTGTCTCTAGCAGCAGTTGACATTATCTCCTCCCCCAGCCTTGTCCTCTCCCGGGCTTGATTTACCAGTCTCCTTCCACCGTTTCTTGTTTGCTTTCAGAGCTGGACCTGCAGCAGACATTGAACTTGCAGGTACCGCTGGTCAAAGAGGGACCACTGTTCATCCACAGGACCAAGGGCAAAGGCCCCCTCACATCCTCCTCCTTCAAGAAACTCCATTTCTCCCTCACTACTGAGGCCCTCAGCTTTGCCAAGACATCCAGCTCCAAGGTGAGCGAGGAGGGAGGCTGGTGAATGAGGTTTGGTGAGATTGGATGCTTGGTGACATCTGAGCCCTTGCTCAGAGCTCACCCAAGGATCCTTGGGTCAGAGGAGAAAGGCAGGCTGGGCCCAGGCTTCTGGCCTCTGTATGGCTGGTCAAATATAGTCACACAAGGCTAGAAAGGATGAAGCCCCTGTGGGGGGGTGTGCAGCAGACTGCAACTGCAGGTCCTGAGCATGAGTCTAGGGCTGAGGGGTGCATCGTCGAGTAACTACTAAAGTGCTCAACCTACCCCCACCCCTTGCTCAGGCCCAGCCCTGGTCAGCTATATATAAACAGGAGATTTTTTTTTTTTTTTTGGCTTCTCTGACCCTTGGCTTCTTGATCTGTAAACCCTTCTTTGTTGTTGTTGTTGTTGTTTGGTTGGTTTTTTAAAACAGAGTCTCCTTGTAGCCCCAACTGGCTTGGAATTCACTATGTAGACCATGCTGACCTCTCTCTCACAGAGATCAACTGCCTCTGCCTCCCAAGTACTGAGATTACAGGTATGCGCCACCATGCACTTTGTGCCTGTCTGACCTTCCTCTTCAACCCCAGAAGACTGCTGTGCTATTCCCATTTACAGAAACTAGGCTTGAAAGTGTTCAGGGAAGGCTGGGAATGTGGTTCGTTGGTTGAGTGCTTGCCTAGCATGCACAAATCCTTGGATCCCATTTGCAGCCCTGCATAAACAGAGCATGATGGCCTATGCCTGTAATCCGAGCATTTGAGGGTGGAGGCAAGAGGATGAAAAATTAAAAGTTGGGGCTGGAGAGATGGCTCAGGGGTTAAGAGCACTTGCTCTTCTTGTAGAAGACCCAAGTTCAAACCCCAGCACCCACACGGCAGCTAACAACTGTCTATAACTCCAGTTCCAGGGGACCTGATGCCCTCTTCCTTATTCCATGACCACTGCATGACACAGGTGCACTTACACACACTCAGGCATAACACTCATGCACATAAAAAATAACATAAATGAATAAATAATAAATAAATAATTTTTTTTAAGAAGTCATTTTCAGCCGGGTGTGGTGGTGCATGCTTTTAATCCCAGCACTTAGGAGGCAGAGGCAGGCAGATCTCTGTGAGTTCAAGACCAGCCTGGTCTACATAGTGAGTTCCAGGACAGCTGGGGCTACAGGGAGACCCTGTCTCAAAAAGACCAAAAAAAAAAAGTCATTTTCAGCTACATAATGAGTTTGAGGCCAGTCTGGGATGTATGAGATGTCTCAAAATTAATTAATTAATTAAAAATAAAAGGCTGGGGGTATAGCTCAGCATTAGAGCCCCCCAATGAGGGGCTGGGTATATGGCTCAGTGGAAGAGCACCTGCCTAAACCCCCCTCCTGGGATCGCTTCCCCCAGGCTCCTTCCCCACAGAAACTGAGTGTTTTCTCTTGTCTGGTTTCACTCACAGCAGGGCCCTGTGAGCAATGGGTTGTCAGGTCCCCTCATGCTATAGCAGGGGACACTGAGGCCAGAGACAAGAACTGGAATAATCTGGCCTTCCCTTCTGAGCCTCTTTTTCCTACCTGCCCCAGAAAAGTGCCTTCATCAAGCTCACCAGCATCCAGGCTGCGGAGAAGGTAGAAGAAAAGAGCTTTGGCAGCTCCCACGTCATGCAGGTCATTTATACAGATGACGTTGGCCAGCCTCAGACCATCTACCTGCAGTGCAAGGTGTGGCCTGCAAAGGGTGCTTGGGAGAGAGAGGACTGCAGTAATGTCCTGAGTGGAATACAAACTGAGTCCTCCCCCCAGTTCCCCATCCCCACGTTCCACCCCCTCCACCTTTTCCTGACTCCTGTCTCATGCCTGGGTATATGGCCCATGTTTGTCTGTGGGCCTCTGCATACAAGTATGTGTGTGGCCAGATGCATAAATAGCCAGAGTCTTGTGACTCAGAGCTTGCATTTTTTTCTGGTCTGCATTGTTTAAAGACTCCCAATCTATGTCAGGCTAACCTGGAACTCAATGTCTTAGTCTCCCTAGTGATGGAATAACACGTTTGAACCACCATGCCAAGCGAATTTATAAATTGAGCGCTTACTAGGTTCTGGGCACAGTTATAGGCCAGGAGCAGTCAAAGGCAGACAAAGAGTATCTTATTGTGTTTATATTCCAGGGGAGAAGATGGGCCAATAAGTAAATATTGAAACTGTCAAATGGTGTTCTGGAGGCATACCTCAGAAATAGAGTATTTGCCTAGAATCCCCCAGTGAGGGTCTGGGGTGTGGCTCAGTGGTAGAGCACCTGCCTAGGATCCCCCAGTGAGGGGCTGGGCTGTGGCTCAGGGGTAGAACACCTGCCTAGAATCCCCCAGTGAGGGGCTGGGGTGTGACTCAGTGGTAGCAGAGCCCCTGCCTAGACTCCCCCAGTGAGGGTGTGGGGTGTGGCTCAGGGGTAGAGCACCTGCCTAGAATCCCCCAGTGAGGGGCTGGGGTGTGGCTCAGGGGTAGAGTACCTGCCTAGAATCCCCCAGTGAGGAGCTGGGGTGTGGCTCAGTGGTATAGCACCTGCCTAGAATCCCTTAGTGAGGGGCCATGGATGCAACTAAACAGTAGACTTCTAAGCAACTCTCCCTGCAGTGTGTAAACGAGCTGAACCAGTGGCTATCTGCACTGCGCAAAGTGAGCATCAACAACCCTGGCCTCCTGGGATCATACCACCCTGGCATCTTCCGTGGGGACAAGTGGAGCTGCTGCCACCAGAAGGACAAGACAGGTAAGATGGCCTAGGCCCCTGTTTTTAACTTACTATATAGACCAGGCTGGCCTTGAAATCACGAGATCCACCTATCTCTGCCTGCTGAGATTAAAGGCGTGTGCCATCACGCCTAGCCCAGGGCCCTGTTCTATACCTGTCTTCAGTGGGATGCAGCCTGGGAGAGAGGGCCTTCACCTATGGAAAGCCAGCCTTCCAGGTGTGCAGTGCACAGATGGATTTGTGACTACTAGTTTAGTAAATGTGAGCCGAAGTGTGGGATGCATGTGAGTGAGTTCATTGGCCACTCTGACCAGGCCCTTTTTTCTTTGTTTAAGGTTTATTTTAATTATGTGTATACGGGTATGGTATGAGCATGTACGTGCAGGTGGCTGTGGAATCTAGAAGAGGGCTTTGGATAATCTGGAACCAGAGTTACAGGCAGTTGTGAGCCACCCAACAGGGGTTCTGGAAGCTGAACTCAGGTCCTCTGCAAGAGCAGTATACCCTCTTAACCTCTGAGCCATCTTTCCAGGACCATGATTGTTTTATTTTGTGTTTTGTTTTGTGTTAGAAGGGGCCTCACACAGCCCAGGCAGGCCTCAAACTCTACAGAGCCAAAGATGATCTTAAACTCCTGATCCTCTTGCTTCTACCTCCTGTGGGAGTGCTGGGATTGCAGGCATGCATCTGTAATCCACATCCACATCCAGATTATGCAGTATAGAGGTAGAACCCAAGGCTTCCTGCATGCTAGGTAAACTATCAACAGCTCTACATCCCTTTCTAAAGTCACTTTGTAAACTCATTTGGAAGGGATCCTTAGGGCCCCCTAAGAACCTCCTCCCCAACCCATGTTTTTTGAGACTGGGTCTCACTATGTATCACTGGCTGGCCTGGAACTTACTGTATAGCCCAGGCTGGCCTTAAACTCACAGAGATCTGCCTGCCTCTGCCTCCCAAGTGCTGTGATTAAAGGCATACACCACCATGCCTGGCCCCTTTCTGTTTTTGAGACAAGGTCTTTCTTTTCTTTTCTTTCTTTCTTTTTTTTTTGGTCTTTTGAAACGGGGTCTCCTTGTAGCCCCAGCTGGCCTGGAACTCACTATGTAGATCAGGTTGGCCTTGAACTCACAAAGATCTGCCTGCCTCTGCCTCCCAAGTGCTGGGACTATAGGTGTGCACCACCCACCCAGCTTTTAAATATTTTCTTTATTTATTTTTGTTTTATGTACATGAGTATATTGTCGGCATGTATGTAGGTGCACTCGTGTTGTGCAGTACCCACAGAGGTCAGAACAGGATATCAAATTCCCATGGAACTGGAGTTCCAGAGGGTTGTTAGCTGTCATGTGGGTGCTGGGAATCAGACAAGGGTCCTCTGCAATAGCAACCGGTGCTCTTAATCGCTGAGCCATCTCTCCAGCTGAGAAAAGGTCTTTCTAAGTAGTCTAGGCTGGTCATGACTTCATCATCCTCCTGCCTCCCACCACTCTCCAGAGTGCTGGGATTACAGGTGTGCTACACCATGCCTGTCTATGAAACTGTTCGGTTGCCAAGAAGTTCCTTGCAGAACCAGTGTTCCCAGGGCCCCACTTGAGTTGTTCTGTGCTGAAGACATCAAAGACTGCTCCCCAATTTTCTTTTTTTTTGAGACAGGGTCTCCCTGTAGCCCCAACTGTCCTGGAACTCACTATATAGACCAGGCTGGCCTTGAACTCACAGAGATCCTCCTGCCTCTGGTCTCCTGTAGTGGGATTAAAGGCATGCGCCACCACGACCGGCTTAGTTTATATATATATATATTTTTTTTTTATGTGTATGAGTGTTTTACCTGCATGTATGTTAGTGTAGCTATGTCATGCAGTGCCTCGGAGGCCAGAAGAGGGCTTCTGATCCCCTGAAACTGGAGTTACAGTTTTTAGCCACCCTGGGTACTGGGAACTGAACCTGGGTCCTCTGCAAGAACAGCCAGTGCTTAAGAGCACTGAGCCATCTATCCAGCCCAGAAAGACTACACCAAGCTCCCATACTGATAGCCTGACCTCTGAAATGCAGCAAGGGCAAACTTCCAGAATCATCCATTTCTCTAGCCACTAGCACATACAGCTGTTGAGCATTTGAAGTGTGGCTAGTACAGTTGAGAAACTATATTTTAATTTTTTAATTTTCATTTAACTAATTAATTTAAATAACATTCTGGGGCTAGAGGCTAGCATGTTAGAAAATTCTGAAACTGTTTGTAGCTCAGACTGGCCTCAAATAACCATATAGCCAAGAATTAGCTTGAAATCCTGATCCTCCTGCTTCTACCTGTTGAATGCTGGGATTAAGGTATATGCCACCATGCCCTGCTGAATTTCTGGAAATTTCAAAATCTTCTCTCCCCTCACCCCTAAACTCCCAAATCTTGGGAGCACTCAGAGTTCTCTGACCTCCAGGCCTCATCCCCCAGAGACTGGTGTAGGAAAAGCCATCCGTCCCGACGCAGTTGTACCTGCTCTGCCCTGGCTTTGAATTGGTGGCTGTTTGTGGCTTTGAATTGGTGGCTGTTTGTGGCCATCAAAGTAGTTCCCTCATTATAGATGATGTGGAGTTCACTGTGGCCCATGAGACAACCTGAGATCCCATTTTACAGGGATGAAACTAAGGCTTAGATATTTGTGTGTGTGTGTGTGTGTGTGTGTGTGTGTGTGTGTGTGTGTGTTGCTAGGATGGAACCCAAGGCTTCAAATCTGCTAGGCAAGTACTCTATCACTGAATCATGCCTGCTGCCCCTGGATGATTCTAGGTAAGTGCTGTACCACTGAGCTACGCCCCCAGTTCAAAACAGGTTTACAGACAGAATGTGAGTAGGCAAAAGTGGCAAAGCTAACAAGTAGCAGGGCCGGCTTATCCAATAAAGGAAACACAAGGGCTTACCCTCCTACATCGTTCAGGGAGACTTCAGATAGGCCTTCCAGAAAGTTATCAGTTTCCGTGATCTGTATGGTGCAGGTTACCCACCCTTCATTGTATATATTCCATGGTCCAGCAATGGAGGCCAATCCCATCTGCTGTAGCCAGAGTATGGGGATCCCCGGCAGATCCCAGGCTAGCTTACCAGGCCCTGGGTGCCCCTTCATCTAGCCTTGTCTCTTATCCAACTCCATTTTTCCCATCTGTTTGCCTTCAGATAGGGGCTGTGACAAGACCCGCTCACGGGTGACCCTGCAGGAATGGAATGACCCACTGGACCATGACCTTGAGGCTCAGCTCATCTACAGGCACCTGCTGGGTGTGGAGGCTGCACTTAGGTGAGGAGGCCCCACTGGTCCTAGTGAATGTGTCAGGCTAAGGGCTGGAGCTGGGATTAGGGTGAGTGCTACCACGTGGTGACTGATTACCTGTCTTTGTTTCTTGGGGTATTTTTTTTCTTCTTTTGATTTGTGTGTGTGTGTGTGTGTGTGTGTGTGTGTGTGCGCGCGCGTGCACGCCAGATGACAACCTTGGGTGTCATTCCTCAGAATTGTCACCTCCCTCTTTATTTATTTAGGGGTGTTTTGGTCTTGGTTTTTTTTGGTTTTTTTTTTTTTGAGAAAGGGGCTCCCTGTAGCTGGCCTGGAACTTGCTATGTAGACCAGGCTGGCCTTGATCTCACAGAGATCTACCTAACTCTGCCTCTCCCAAATGCTGGGATGAAAGGTATGTGCCACCAGCTCCCCATTTATTTTAAACAGGGTCTTTTATTAACTTTGAGTTCACCAATTTGACTAAATTGCCTAGTTAGCAAGCCTGCCTATCTTTACCTCCCCAGCTCTGGGATTACAAGTGTATACCCACATACCTGGCTTTTTTGTATGGATTCTGGGGCTCAAACTTGGGTCCTCATGCTTATAAAGCAAATACTTCACTAACTGAGCTCTTACCCCAGTTCTCTCCTTTGGGTTTTTTGTTTGTTTGGGGTTTTTTTTTTTTGTTGTTGTTGTTGTTGTTTTTCATACAGTGTCTCACTATGTAGCCCTGACTGTCCAGCCTGGAACTTGTCATGTAGACCAGGCTGTCCTGGTCTGAACTCACAGAGCACTATCTGCTTCTGCCTCCTGAGTGCTGGGATTAAAGGTGTGCACCACCATGCCTGGCTCCTCTCTGTTCTTTTAAATCAGGGTCTTACTATGTATTCCAGACTGTCCTTGAACTTGTGAGCCTCCTGCCTCAGCCTCCTAAGTAGCTGGAATGATAGACCTGTACCAACACACCCAGACTGGTTTTTTCTCTATTATTTTTATTTTATATATATGAATGTTTGGCCAATATATATGTAAGTGTACAACATGTATGCAATGCCCCATGCGTGGTCAGAAGAGGGTATTGGATCTCCTGGAACTGGAGTTACAGATGTGAGCTGCCATGTGGGTGATTGGAACTGAACCCAGGTCCTCTGCAGGAGCAGCCAGTGCTCTTAACCACTGAGCCATTTCTCCAACCCCTTTCCTCTTTCCATTTTTGTGAGTCCCAGGGATCAAACTCAGACTTTGGACTTGCATAGCAGGCTGCTTTGCCCTCTGAGCTATCTCATAGACCCTCTTACCATTCATTTAATGAGACCAAGCACCTTCCCACCTCCACATCTACATCTGTTTGCCTGCATCATGAGGCTGGCTCCGATTAGGACAGAAGTACCAGGGGTCACAGCCACAACTGCTTCCTGTCTTGATCTGAAACCCCATCCCCCACCTGCCCAGTTTTTCCAAGGTAGCCTCAGAACACTGGTTTTGCCCTCAGCCAACTCTGAGTTCCTGGGCTGTCTTGCTAATTAAGATTCCTTGACTTGACTGTAAAGCTTAGGAAAAAAAAAAAAACAAAAAAACAGGATGCTTTCTAAAATAACTTTACAAAACAGGATGTCTGGGGCCCATTAACTCGGAACCACTGGGCAGGGCCAGGCAGGAGGATACTTTGAGGCAATCCCAGCTCCCTAGAGTGGGCTTTAACTGGGCTGTGCAAAGGAGGCTGCTTTCTCTCCTGCATACTGTGTCCTAGACCCCAATAAAGTGATATGAGCATCCTTTTAAATATTTCTAAGGGGCTGGAGAGATGGCTCAGCAATTAAGAGCACTGAATGCTCTTACAGAAGGCCAGAGTTCAAATCCCAGGACCCACATGACAGCTAACAGCCATCTGTAACTCCAGTTCCAGGGAATCCAATGCTCTATCTGTCCTCTGTGAGCACTGCATGACACAGGTGCACTTACACACATGCAAGCATAACACTCATATAAATAAAGTAAAAATAAGTCAAAATAATTAATGAAATTTTTTTCATTTATTTTTATTTTATGTGTATGACTGTTTATAACTGCACCATGTATGTGCAAGCCTGTGGAGGCCAGAAGAGAGCATCAGAGCCCCTGATACTGGAGTTATATATTGTTGTTAGTTGCCATGTAAGTGCTGGGAATTGAACCTGGGTCCTCAGGAAGGGCAGCCAGTGCTCTTAACCACTGAGCTATCTCACCATTCCCCCCTTTTTTTGTATTTTTGGGACAGGGTCTCAGTATGCAGCCCTGATTGGCATTGAACTGACCATGTAGACCAGGCTAGCCTTGAACTCCCAGAGCTCCGGTTGCCTCTGCCACCCAAGTGCTGGTATTAAAGATGGAGGTCCTTTTTTTCTTAAGATTTTCAAAAAAATATGTATATTTGTGTGTATGTGTGAGGTTATGTGCATATGAATGCAGGTGCTCTCAAAGACCAAAGGTTTTGGATCTCCCAGGACCTGAAGTTATAGGCCTGTTGTAAGCCACCTGAAGTGGTTGCTGGGGATTGAACTCAGCTCCTCTGCAGGAGTCCTAAATACTCAATTGCAGAGCCATCTCTCAAGCCCTACAAGGGCTTCTTGTTGCTTAGTGATCTTCCAGGGTTTTGGTCTTCCCTCAAAACCTTTTGAGCTGGGCATGATGGTACATGCCTATAGTCCTAGCACTCAGGAGGCAGAGGCAAGAGGATCGGAAGTTCAGAGTCATCTGCTATGTAGTGAGTTCAAGTTCAGTCTGAGCTACACAAAACCCTGTCTCAAAAACCACAATAAGCCAGGCATGGAGGTGCACGCCTTTAATCCCAGCACTCGGGAGGCAGAGGCGGGCGGATCTCTGTGAGTTCAAGGCCAGCCTGGTCTCCATAGCAAATCCAGGCCAGCTGGGGCTACAGGGAGACCCTGCTTCAAAAAGACCAAAAAAAAAAAAGACCTTGGATTTCACCAGTCTTAGCCCCAAATTCCTCTCATAGCTTGGGAACTTTCAGGCCACAGTTGGCTATTTTTCCGTAGACCCCCCCTCTCCACCCCCCCGCCACCACCAAACCACTGTTATGGTGTGGCTTGATTTGGCAGAGGCCTTCCAGCCAGGCAGTGTGGCTCATGTTTGTAATCCAGCACAAGGGAAGCTGAGGCAGAAAGGCTGAAAGTTCAAGAATAAGCTTGGCTATATAGTGAGACCCTGCCTCAAAAAAACAAAAACAGGGGCTGGAGAGATGGCTTAGTGGTTAAGAACACTGGCTTTCCTTGCAGAAGACCCAGGTTCCAATCCCAGCACCCACATGGCAGCTAACAACTGTCCATTACTCTAGTTCCAGGGAATCTGACAACCTCTTCTGTCCTCCACCAGCATTGCACGACACGGGTATACTTACTTACATGCAGGCAATACACACATACACATAAAAATAATAAACAAAATATTTAAAAAAAAAACCTGGATCTTCTGGTGGACCAACACTTGGAGAGTGGGATTGCAGCAAAGGTGGCTGGAAAGGGGAAGTACACAATTTATTCCTCATGGACTGAAATTGTCCTCCTGCATCCCTCGAGATAGCTACCTCCAGGGCAGAAAGTCCACGTGGTGTTACTCTGTCTCCCAGCAAGGTGGGTGTAGCTCTGTCTTCCTCCCCAGGGAGAAGTTCCGGCTGTTGAGTGGGGACACAGAAGCAGGCACCTCGACCACAGGCCCTGGTGGAGGTAGGTCCACTCAGTTTTGGTGGCCCCACCATCTCCAGGAACACATGGGTGGGAGTTCTCAGACCACTGAGGTTGGGCCTGCCACATGCATCTGCCTCACAATGCATCTGCCTCCAGCTCCTGAGGACTCACTGGCCCAACTGCTTCATGTACTGCAAGACCTTCAGGAAGCCCACAACTCTAGCCTGGTGAACCTGACACCCACAGAACGTCACCACCTTTTAGAGCTTCAGACCTGAGGTGTTTGTGGAACACAAACACACAGCCAGACGTTTAGAGATCTCTCTGGGCCCTCACCCCAGTCATCTCTCCTGGGGAGAACTTTGGCTCCACATACCACCCCTATGTCTGTGGTGTGTAGGTGGCACCTACTTCTCTGGAAGGCCTGACTCCTTCCAGATTCTTAACCCAGGGCAGACACATCCCTAGAAAGATCTGGACCTAGGAGACCAGGTGTCCACCTTGTACCCCCTCACTTCCAGCCACCACCCCTGCTGCTGCCTGGCCCCCTTGGGCAGGGCATCACAGTGCTTTACTGCTGTTAATAAACCTGTGGTGACTGCCGAGGCTCTGGGGTCTTGAGATGGGGAGAGACAGAGAGACAGATAGAGACACAGTCCTGGGGACCCTAGTGGGAGCTGGGAATATGACCAAAGGCTGGAGTCACCAACAGTCTCTTTGCAGTCCAGCCCTCATTTTGGGTTCCATTTTACCAGGGGCCAACGCCTCTTTGACCTCCAAACGGCTGTTCCCACATTTCTCTCCACAGTTCTTCATCCTATAAGCTGTGGAGCCTGACAGGTCTTCCCAGCCTTTCTCTTCTGGAAACAGCCATCACACAAGCCCCTTTATTCAGGGTGACCTTACAGGCTTCACAGCAGGACTGGGCACTTGTCCCCTTCCATCTTCTAGGGGCTACCAGGCCAAGTTCCCAGTGACTCTGCTCAGGGTGGGAGAAGGAGGTAGGACTGTGATGACCAGAAGCTGATTGGGAATGGGGTGGCTGGGATGGCAGGGTATGGAGCTCTTCTGGTCACCTCCCTGCCCTGCTCCCATGGACCCAGGCCATATACGGTACTGCTTGTATGGTTGACCAGCTGCTAAGTGCAGGGTGGGCAGGGTCTTTGTATCCCTGAAGGCAGAGAAATCTGGGAATGTGTGTTCAGGGCTCAGCCTTAGTACAGTGGCACCCCCTGGCTGCCACCTCCCTCCTAACAGAGGGAGCAGTAGGGGCATCCCAATTCAAGTGGTGTGATTTTTTTTAAGTTTTTATTTTTTATGTTTTTTAATGCTTTATTATTTTTATTTTATGTGTATGCATGTATTGCCTGCACATAGGTAAGTTCACCCATGTTGTGCAATGCCCATGGAAGACAGTTGTTAGCTGCCATGTAGGTGCTGGGATTCGAATCCGGATCTTCTGCAAGAACAGTGTTCTTAACTGCTGAGCCATCTCTCCAGCCCCAGTTTTTATTTTTTTATTTCTTTTTATTTTATGTGTATGAGTGTTTTGCCTATGTGTAAGTGCACCACATGTGTGCAGTGTCCACAAAGGTTAGAAGAGGGTGTCAAATCTTCTGGAACTGAAGTTATAAGATGGTTGTTAGCTGCCATCTGGATCCGGGGAACTGAACTTGTGTCCTCTGCAAAAATAGCCAGCACTCTTAATGCTGAACCATCCCTCCAGCCCCAGGTAGTTTTACTAATTAATTAATTATGTTGTTTTGGAGGAATTAAGATAGATCAGTCATGTGTCCCAAGCTGGCCTCAAACTCATTATGTAGCTGAGGTTGAACTTTAACTTCTGATCTTCCTGCCTGCACCCCCTAAATGCTAGAATTACAGGTGTGAACCACACAGAGTTTAAGCAGTACTAGGCATGGAACCTAGGACTCTGTGCATACTAGGCAAGCACCCTGCCAAGAGAGTTACATTTTTAGCCATTTTTTAAAAAATTTTATAGTCCAGGCTGCTGTCAAAGTCACTGTGTACCTAAGGATAACCTTGCCTCTGTCTCCTAAGTGCTGGGATTAGAGGCATGAGCCTACATGGCTGGATTTAAATGGTAGGTATAAAAGCACATTCAGGGAGCTGGACAGATGGTTGAGTGGTTAACTGCACTGGCTGCTCTTGTAAAGGACCCAGGTTTAGTTCCCTGCACCCACATGGTGGTTCACAACCATCTGTAACTCCAGTTCCAGGGAATCCGACGCCCTCTTCTGTTCTCTGCAGGTACCGTGCATGCACACAGTGCACATATATACATTCAGGCAAAACATTCATACATAGAAAATAAATAAATCTAAAAAAATTTTTTTAAAAAAGCACATTCAGGCTGGTGATGCATGAGTAAGGCCCTGGGTTCCATCCTCAGTGCCAAGAACAATCCAGCCAAAACAAAACAACATGCTCAAAAGCTGGGCATGGTGACACACACCTCTGTTCCCATCACTGGGGAAGCAGGGACAGGAAGATTTCAGCTTTGAGGCCAGCATGGGCTACATGTGAGCTGCATCAATAAAAATGGAACATGGCCTAATCGTTGGAGCGCTTGTCTAGCGTGCAGTAGGTCCTGGGTTCTGGGTTTGATCCTCAGTACTGTACAAATTGGGCATGAAGCTGCCCTATGTGAACCATGTGAACCATGTCCCCTCCCTGTCACTGGAGGGATTTTAAGCAGGTGCTCTACCACTGAACCACACCCCCAGCCCCTCACTGGGGCATTCTAGGCTAGTGCTCTACCAGGTCCTCACTGGAGGACTCTAGGTAGAGTTGCTAGTGCCGAGCCACGCCCCCAACACTGCTGGAGTAGTTAAGTAACTCTTGAACAGATCTCCTCAGCTATGTTTTCAGTCTTCTGATCCTTACCCCCAAGCTGCTCCAGTCCTGGTAAGATTAGTGTCCCTGAGCCAGACACTTCCAGGGTGATACAGAAGTTCAGGGAATTACTACCCTCACTTTGCTGAGGTCCTGCCACTTGGCCTGACCTCCCCCTGAGAGACATTTTCTTACCCCAGTGTTCAAGTGGCACAGGAGTGTGGTGGCCAAGCTCCAGGTGGGGCCTTAATGCTAAGCTGGGGTGTGCAGCATACTAACCAGTCCACTCTGGGGATTATTATACATTTGTCACCAGAGTTTTAGTACAAAAGCTCTGAGTTAAGGAGTCCCATCAAGCTAGCCTCTGCCAGATAAGGATATGAGTGCTGGTGAAAAGTAGAGAGAGGCAATCTGTTCAATGTGATGCACCAGGAGGAACAGCTCAGTGGTTAAGAGCACTGACTGCTCTTGTGAGGACCTGAGTTTAGTTCCCAGCACCCACATGGCAGCTAACAACTGCCCTAACTCCAGTTCCAAGGATCTGGTGCCCTCTTCTTGCCTTTGTGGGTTTACACTCATGTGGCACACCTACATACATGCAGGCAAAACACTCAGACATAAGTAATTTTAAACAGAACAGGAGGAACAGATAAGGGGTTCAGTGAGTCCTTGTTATAAAATCCAGTTCTCTGAGCAAATAGCCCCCATCTTCATCAGATCAGCTGTGCCCGATTACAAAAGTCCATCATGACACGGCCTGTTTACTGCTGACACTCATAGAAGGAAGGCTGAGTTTCCAGCCACTACCAGACATTTATATGTAATTCATCCTAACTCTACATGGCGTCGGGGTGCTAGCATATATAGGCTGGGGGAAGTTAAGAAGGGTTCCATCTGTGCGGCTGTGGGGAAGCCAATCTTCCATGCTGGGTGAAAACTTCCCAGTGCAGATACTTGGGGATCCCTGCACACTCCTACAAGTAAACCATGATCCATGCTTTGTAGGTAAGTCCAATAAAACTCACTGGCTCTTCAGGGTGAACTTTGGCAGAATCATACTTTGGTTTGCCCTTGGAGCCTTATGAGGAGGGGGCATTTAAATCTCCCCCGGGTCGAATTCTGAAACATTCCTAAGTCCATGTTTTGGGTCCTGGTTAAGTTTTAGGTTCAGAAAAGGGAAGAACTGGGGCAGGCAGTGAGGGGTGTATATATTTAATCAGTCTTGGTGAAGTGGGGGTCTGGTTATCTCAGCTCTGGTTCTACAAGGTGACCCGAAGAAGTCCTTATTGCTTGAAGGGACAAGCCTGTTCCCATGAGAGGATGGCTCCTGCTTGGTTTGAGGTCATTGTGGGGTGATCTGTCTGCAAGGCTCTGCTGATCCTGGAATCCAAGGTGACTGTAGGGTTCATTTGGGACTGGAGAACCTCAGGTGTCTCTTGGAAGTTCAAAAGGGGATGTTGTAAACGCTAAGATGTCTCAGTTATTCTTTTTAAAAAATATATATTTTATTAGGTACTGGAGAGTTGACTCAGTGGTTAAGAGCACTGGCCGCTCTTGCAGAGGACCAGGTTCAGTTCCCAGCACCCACATGGCAGCTAACTATCCATAGCTACAGTTCCAAGGAATCCAGTGCCCTCTTTTGACTTCCTCAAGCATTGCACAACAGGCACACACATACATGCAGGTAATACACTCATACACATAATAATAAAATATTTTTTAAAAACAAAAATATTTGGGGCTGGAGAGATGGTTCAGCAGTTAAAAACACTGGTTGTCTTGCAGAAGACCCGGGTTTGGATCCCAGCACCCACGTGGCAGCTAACAACTGTCTGTAACTCCAGTCCCAGGGGATCTGACAGCCTCTTCTGACCTCCTCGGGCATTGCACAACATGGATGCATTTACCTACATGCAGGCAATGTACACATACACATAAAAAAAATAAAAATTTTAAAAAAGTTTAACAAAAAAAAGTTTTTGTGTGAATATAAGTATTTCTGTCTGCATGTAACCTGTGCATGCAGTGCCCACGGTGGCCAAAATGGAGACAGATCCCCTGGAACTGGAGTTATGGATGGCTGTTAGCAGCCATGTGAGTGCTGGGAACCAAACAAGGTCTTCTGGAAATAACAACCAGTGCTCTTAACCACTGAGCCAGCACTCCAGCCCAAGTTATTCTTTAACTTCAGCCTTGAAGGGAGATAAATTGGGATAGATAACAATCAGTGGTTCTCAGATGGACACTCTTTGGGTGATAAATATGGCTAGGTGCAGAAGTAAGCAGGAGTGGGACCCAGTGTTTGAAGATGGGGATTGTAGTAGTTACTTTTCTTGTTGCTATGTCAAAATAACCAACAAAAACATTTTTAAAATTAATTTTCTTTTTAGCCAGGCGTGGTGGTGCACACCTTTAGTCCCAGCGCTCGGGAGGCAGAGACAGGCGGATCTCTGTGATTTCAAGGCCAGCCTGGTCTACATAGTGAGTTCCAGGACAGCTGGGGCTACAGGGAGCTCCTGTCTCAAAAAGACCAAAAAAAAAAAAAACAATAATTTTCTTTTTAAATTTTTTATGTGTATGAGTGTTTTGCCTTCATGCTGGTGTACTTGTGTCATGCAATGCCTGAAGGCCAGAAGAGGCCATCAAATCCCCGGAACTGGAGTTACAGATGGTTGTTATGTGGGTGCTGGGAACCCAACACAGGACCTCTTTTATTTTTGGTCTTTTTGAGACAGGGTCTCCCTGTAGCCCCAGCTGACCTGGAACTCACTATGTTGACCTGGCTGGCCTTGAACTCACAGAGCTCTGCCTGCCTCTGCCTCCTGAGTGCTGCGATTAAAGGCATGCACCACCACGCCTGGCATCGAACCCAGGGCCTCTTAACCAATGAGCCATCTCTCCAGCCCCCTGACCAATGCATCTCAAGGAAGGGTTTGGTTTGTTTTACCTTAGCTTGAGGGTACAGCTCATCGTGACAGCAGGAGCATGAGGCAGCTGGTCACATGTCATGCACAGTCAGAAAGCAGAGAGGTGAATGCTGGTACTCAGCCTGCTCTCTTTTATTCATTTTGGGACCTTAGCCCATGGGATGGTGCCCTCACATTTAGGACAAGTCTTCTTTTCTCAGTTAAACCTTTCCAGAATCAAGCCAGATGTGGTGGCATACATCTTTAAAGTCAGCACTTAGGCAGAGGCAGGCGGATCTGAGCTGGAGGCTAGCCTAGTCTACATAGCCAGTTCCAGGCCAGCCAGAGCTATATAATATAGCAAGATCTTGTTTCAAAAGAAAAAAAAAATAAAGCCAGTTGTAGTGGTGCATGCCTTTAGTCCCAGCACTCAGGAGGGAGGGGGCGGGGAACGGACCCTGGTCTCAATATCGAGTTCCAGGTCATCTGTGGCTTCAGTGAGACCCTGGCTCAAAACAAACAAAACATGGGTTCTAGAATCACTCACACCACACAGCCGAAAGTGTTTGCATCCATAGTGCTTCTAAATTACATCAAGTTGACAAACTTAACCACCACAGGGGCTGGAGAGATGGCTCATCATTTACGAGCACTTGTTGCTCATACAAAGGATTCAGGTTCTCTTTCCAGCACCCACACTGGGCAGCTTACAACTACCTGTAACTCCAGCTCCAGGGGAATCCGACAGCCTCTTCTGGCCTCTGTAGGCATTGCACATACATGGTGCACTTACATATATGCAGACAAAACACTCATACACATAAAAATACATAATTCAAAAAAAGTTTTTTAAATAAGTCGAGTCAGACCAGTCAGGGATCTTCCAGGAGTACTCCACACTGGCCACTTTTCCAGGGGGGGCGTTATTTACACATCAATACTTCCCTCAGACCCCGTCCTTCCCTTCTGCCAGCCAACACTCCCCGATACCCCATGTCCCGGTCTTTTATCCAGATGCTACTCTATGGAAACATTTCCAAAGAGGGAAGTCAAGTGTCATTAGGCGCCTACAAAAGCACAGCTCAAATTCCAACTGAGTCTGGAGCAGGATTGCAGGGTACAGGAAGAGTAAGGGTCCCAGCAATCAGAGCATGCGCTTAGACTGACGCATGCGCGTCGCTCATGGCCTCGCTGCCTGCACAAGGTCCTCCTGACCAACAGGGGGCGCGCCGGGCCAGGTGCTTCCCCGAATTGGCTGCGCCTGCGTAACCCGGAAGTGGTCGCATTTTAGGGCTCCGCGCGGAGGCGCGTTCGAGTTTGAGGACGTGAGTGCGGCGCCAGGATGAACGCTCCTCCGGCCTTCGAGTCGTTCTTGCTCTTCGAAGGCGAAAAGAAGTAAGTGAGGCTGGCTGGAGCCGGGACCGTTGGTTGGGAGTCTGCCGGACGTCAGTCCCTGCGGAGCGCGGCACTGCGCCCGCCCGGGGGACCGAAGTGGGTTTTGCTTTGAGTATCTGTCTGCTCAGTGGCAAAGCATTGGCGAGTGCATGCATTTTGCACATAAGGAAAATGAGGCTCGAGGACATTGGGTCACTTGCCCCAGACTCTGGAAATGGCTGGACCTGTATTCGAACCCAGAGCGTCAGCCTCCAAAGGGTCCCTCTGGGACCCGGCATCCTCTTCAGTCCATCCGAACCGTGCAGTGACGACTTTAGAACCGACATCCCGCCTGTATTTCTAGTACTTGGGTACCTGAGGCGGGAGGATGGTTATGGTAGCGGTGAAGGGACAGAGACACAGCTTCACAGTCACCCTCTGCAGCCCGAGGAATTAATTCCCCTAGACTTTTTGGAGACTTCGATTCAGGCCAGTCTGGGGTTCGTGCTGAAAAAGTATTCCAGGACTAGTCAGTTTAATAAATCAGAGTTGGTAATTTTATTAAAGATAATTTAATATAGGCTCGAGCATGAGGATTGAAAGAGGGGCGCACAAAAGAAGGTAAGCCACACCAAGTGGGGGTAAGTAAGATGTTCTCAAGTGTGGGCACAGGCTTCTCCAGGAAAGATTAGGTGGTTAACTGTCTCAGCATTAGCCAGATGTTGGTGACTCTCAGGTTATATTATCAAAAGGTTGCTAAAATCCTCTCTCACCCGGCTTGGTAGTGCATAGGAGTTATATCTTAGTGGCAGAGCACTTGTCTAGGATGCACAAGGTTCCTTCGATCCTAGCTATTACTCAGTCAGTCAATAAATACTGTAGTTCAGGGACTGAAGAGATGGTTCAGGAGTTAAGTCTTGCAGGGCACCTGGGTTTGGTTCCCTGCACCCTCAGAGTGGTTAACTGTCCATGCTCCAGTTTCAGGGGATCTAATGCCCTCTTCTGGCCTCCACAGGCCTTGCACACATGGATACACATAAGATACCTGCAGGCAAAACTTTTACTCATATACAAAATAAAAATAATTTAAAAAATAAATTGTAAAGAAAAGAATGCTTGAGTCTAAAATGCCCATGTATTGGGCCAGTGAGATGGCTTAATGGGTACAGGTGCCTACAGACAAGCCTGACAGCCTGCGTTTGTTCCCCAAGACTCCTGTGGTGGAAGGTAGAAGGAAAGAACTGACTCCTGCAGGCTGTCCTCTTATATCACGTGCTGTGTGGCGTGCACATTCACACACATACATACACACACACACACACACACACACACACACACACACAATAAGCAAAAAACCCGTGTTTTGAGTTTGAGAAATTCTGACTTAGAAAAAAGGAGCAATCCAGGGTAGGTGTGGAGCCCAAGTTAGGTGCTCTCTGGTATACAGATGTGGGCTGTCATGGGCTAGAGAAGGTTTCGTGTGTGTGTGATACTGGGGATGGAACCTAGGGTCTGGCCCAGGGTAGGCCAGTGCCCTATCTTTATGCTACACCCTAGCTTTTTCTTTTCTTTTGGTCTTTTTGACACAGGTGTTGTCCCAGCTGGCCTGGAATTTGCTCTGTAGACCAGGCAGGCCTCAATCTCACAGAGATCCTCCTGCCTCTGCCTCCTGAGTTCTGGGACTAAAGGTAAGCACTACCACAGCTGGTTTCTTTTTCTTTTTTTTCCTCACTTTTACAATTTTTGATGAGTTGGGGAGATGGCTCAGTGGGCAAAGCACTTGCCATGCAAGCTTGAAGATCTGAGGTTGTGTCCTCAGGAACCATGTAAAGCCAGGTGGAGTAGCTCTTTTATAATTCCAGTGCTTCTATGGGGAGAAGTGGAGACAGGAGGATCCCTGAAGATTTGCAGTCCAGCAAGCAACGTGTATGCAGTGTGAACAAGAGGTCCCGCCTAAACAACATAGAAGGCAAGGACCGACACCTGGGGTTTTCCTCTCACCTCCACACAGGCGTGGTGGTGCATGAACCTATATTCACACAACCTGACATCACACATACAAAGATTTTTTTAAAAAATTTCTGTGATGGTATGTTGCTAAGTTGCCCAGGTTGGCCTTGAACTCATTCCATAATCTAAGTAGGCTTTGAACTTGCCATCCTCCTGCCTCAGCCTCTCAAGGAGCTGGGGTTACTGGCCCGAGCCACAAGTCCTGGTTTATTGTGGGGTTTTTTTTGTTTTGTTTTGTTTTTAAGGGGCGGGGGTCAGGGGGAGTAGGAGGCAGAAGTAGAGATGGAACCCAGAGCCTTACATGTGTGAGGTAAATGGCGTACCGCTGAGCCATGACCCTAGCTCTCAGAGGCATCTTTAGGGATAAGCAGACTGATTAAAAGTTTCTTCCAAGGGCTGTAGCTGTAGCTCTGTGGCTTGCCTAGCATGCCTGAGGCTGTAGGTTCAATCCCTACTACTACAAAGGAGAAGCTTGCAGAATGAGACTTAGGCCTGCCTTTAAGTGTTACAGAGGGTGAGGAAGGGGAGTGTCTTGTCTTCTAGAAGGAAGGAACTTAGTCAAGAGACAGTGTAAGGCTTAAGGGTTTATTTAGCAAATCAAACCCTGTGGCTAGCTAGATGGCAGTTGGTTAAGAGCACTACCTGCTCTTGCAAAGGACCCAGGTTTGGTTCCCAGCACCCACATGGTGACTAACAACCTTCTATAACACCAGTTCCATGGAATCCAACACCCTCTTCTGATTTTCACAGGTATTGCACAGCATGGGAGCACTTACACACATGCAGGCAATACACTCACACATAAAAGTAATAAATTTAAAAAACAAAGTATATTGCTGGGTGTGAAGGCACACACCTTTAATCCCAGCACTTGGGAGGCAGAGGCAGGTGGATCTCTGTGAGTTTAAGGCCAGCTGGGGCTATAGGGAGACCCTGTCTCAAAAAGACCAAAAAAAAAGTATATACCCTACAAAGAAATTGGAGTGGCTGCCCCAAGGTGGGGCTATCCAAGTAGGTACTGCCGTGACAATTTCAAGGTTTTTTTTGTTATCTTTTGAGACAGATTCCCTATAGTGGGGCTGGCCTTGAACTCACAGAGATCTGCCTGCCTCTGCCTCCCAAGTGCTGGGATTAAAGGCATATGTCACTTCAGGCCAGTTTTAAGAGTTTTTATGGGGTCTGGAGAGATGGCTCAGCAGTTACTGCTCTTGCAGGGGACCAGAGTTCAGTTCCCAGAAACTGTGTCAGTGGCTCATGACTTTCTGTAATTCCAGCTCCAGAGGATCTGACACCTCTGATCTCTGAGGGCACCTGCACTCACAGACATACAATCTTAAAAAAAATTTTAAGTTGGGCTGGAGAGATGGCTCAGCGATTAAGAGCACTGACTGTTCTTGCAGAGGACCTGGGGTTCGATTCCCAGCACCCACATGGCAGCCACAAACCGTCCTTAACTACAGTTCTAGGGGAACTGAAGCCTTCTTCTGACCTCCAAGGCATTGCATGACACAGGTGCACTCACATACATGCAGGCAATACACTCATACACATAAAATAAAAATACATTTTTAAAAATTTTGTATTTATGAGGTAAATAGCATAAATATATTTAGAGGTAAATGGTCTTATTCCTTTACAAACCTTGGCAGATGGGATCTGCCTTTTAGGGCCTTTCTTCCCATGATCCTGTAGAAAAGCCCACAAGGGGTCAGGGGGAGCCAAATACCATAATTTTTTGTTTTTGTTTTGTTTTTTGAGTCAGGATCTCATTATGTAGTCCTGGCTGGCCTGGAACTTGTTATGTACACCAGGCTGGCCTCAACCTCACAGGGATTAGCCTGCCTCTGCCTCCCGAGTGCTGGGATTAAAGGCATGCGCCACCACTCTCAGCTGACAATAACTTTTTAAACGTACATTTATTTGGGTTGGGTACATACTTGTGCTGTGGTGTGTTTATTGAAGTCAAAGGACAACTTTCAGGAGTTGGTTCATTCCTTCCATCATGTGGGAATTGGATTCAGGTCTTCAGACTTGGCAGCACTTGCTTTTATCCACTGAGCCATCTCACTGGCTCAGGCTTCCAAGTAGCCATCTTGCTACATAAGTAATATTTTGCTGAAGTTGAGATCTTTCAAGGCTCATTAGTGTGCATGGTGGGAAAGGGCCCTGGCAACTTTGTTTCTGTAGTGGGAACAACCCTACTACAACTTTGAAGGATGTTTGATCACAAAGGTGGTATTCTGACCCTTGGAAGACATGACTACCAGTGTCTGCACCAGTATCAGCAAGGGCCAGGTTTGGACATGGAAAGGGGAGCTGTCACCCTCAGCCATTGCCTCTGTCTCTTTCTAGAATCACCATTAACAAGGATACTAAGGTGCCCAATGCATGTTTGTTTACCATCAACAAAGAAGACCACACTCTGGGAAACATCATCAAATCGTAAGTTCTAGCCAGAGGTCCTTGGGGTGTGTGGTGGGGCTCTGGGGACCAAGGACATGTCCTGTGAGTTTCTTCATCTCACCTTTTCAGATACTTGCTCTAATACTTCACAGTTGTGCTATTTTTTTTCCCCAACATGATGCTGACAAGTCTGTTCACATAAGGCTTGTTTCTATATTGGCTTATTTTATGTATATGAGTGTTTTGCTTGCATGTATGTAACTGCACCACATGTGTGCAGTGCCTATGGAGGCCAGAAGAGGGAATCAGATCCCCAGGAACTGGAGTTATTGACAGTTGTTAGCCACCATGTGGGTGTTGGGACCTGAACCCAGGTCTCCAAGAGCAGCCAGTGCTCTTGACTGCTGAGCCATCTCTTCATCCACCAAAAAACACTGCATTTGTTGTTTGGTTGGGGTTTTGGGGGGCATCTCAGTATACAGCCCTGGCAGGCCTCATACTCACAGATAATTTGTCTCTGCTTCCCAAATGCTAGAATCAAAGGACTGTGCCACCATGCCTGGATTAACCTGCAGCTCTTTTAAAAAATATTTGTTTTTATTTTATGTGTGAGTATATTGCCTGCATGTAAAGTACAGACTGTTGTTAGCCATGATGTGGGTACTAGGAACTGAACCCTGGTCTCTGCAAGAGACTGCTGAGCCATCTCTCCAGCCCCTCTTCTTTTTAAATGAGTGTTTTTGCCTGCATGTATGTAAGTGCACTCTTGTCATGCAATGCCTACAGAGGCCAGAAGAGGGCATTGGATCCCTTAGAACTGGAGTTATGGATGGTTGTTAGCACTGTGTGGTTGCTGGAACTCAGATCCTCTGCAAGAGCAGCCAGTGCTCTTAACTGTTGAGCCATCTCTCTAGCTCCCACTTACAACTCTTAAGATGTGTGGCAGGGGCAGATGAAAGCACAGGACCCCAAGTTTGATTTCCCTGCCCTCATAGAACAGGGACCTGTGTGTGGGGATGGTTCCCTGGGGACTCTGTGGCCATTTTACTACAGCTCAGCATCTGGCCCTCATCCCACTGCTGCCTGTACCCAGGAATGGAGCTGCATGTTCTGGCTCCCTCAACCCTGGCAAGATGTTTCTGGCCTAAGTGGGGTCCTCAGCTGCCTTGTGACAGAATATACAATCATACTCGGGCTCCCAGCCAGGGTCCTTAATCCTTGCTGATGCAGACTTCCCACTTGGTCTTGAGGCTCTTCCAGTTGAGAATCTTTTTCCCCGGTACTGGGGGTTGAACCTATAGATTCATGCATGCTAGGCAGGTACTCAACCACTGAGCCATATCCACAGCCGCCTTTATATTTTTTGAAAGTCTTTGAACTTGTAGTCCTCCTGCCTCAGCCTGAGTAGCTGGGATGACAGGCCTGTACTACCACACCAACTTGGTGGTTTGGGGCAAAGAAGCACTTTGTTAGAAAGCTTACTGGGTACTACCTGCATCAACACCCTCCGCCTGTCTCTCAGTCAGCTGCTGAAGGACCCACAGGTGCTGTTTGCTGGTTACAAAGTCCCTCACCCCTTAGAACACAAGATCATCATCCGAGTCCAGACCACCCCGGACTACAGCCCCCAGGAAGCCTTTACCAATGCCATCACAGATCTCATCAGTGAGCTCTCCCTGCTGGAAGAACGCTTCCGGGTAAGGGGGGGTGGGGGGAGTCAGTGGCCTAGAAGCTGTGGTGTATAGTCCAGCAGTAGAGCTCCCAGTGAGTGACTGGGGTGTGGTTCAGAGGTAGAGCACCTGCCTATAATCCCCCAATGAGGGGCTGGGGTGTGGCTCAGTGGTAGAGCACCTGCCTAGAATCCTCCAGTGAGGGGCTGGGGATGTGGCTCAGTGGTAGAGCACCTGCCTAGAATCCCCCAGTGACGGGCTGGGGTGTGGCTCAGTGGTAGAGCACCTGCCTAGAATCCTCCAGTGAGGGGCTGGGGATGTGGCTCAGTGGTAGAGCACCTGCCTAGAATCCCCCAGTGACGGGCTGGGGTGTGGCTCAGTGGTAGAGCACCTGCCTAGAATCCTCCAGTGAGGGGCTGGGGATGTGGCTCAGTGGTAGAGGCAATGTGGCTCAGTGGTAGAGCCCCTGCCTAGAATCCCCCAGTGAGGGGCTGGGGATGTGGCTCAGTGGTAGAGCCCCTGCCTAGAATCCTCCAGTGAGGGACTGGGGATGTGGCTCAGTGGTAGAGTGCCAGGCTAGCATAATCAAGGCCCTGCACACCATCCCTAAAGAAAAAGCCCAAACCCCAGCGCTCTTTCTTTTGCTGCCTGCTTCTCAGGTTCTAGGTACCTGTCTAGGGGATGGCCTCCTGTCCCAGAGTAGGAGTCATAGTTCTTGGGCAAGACCCTTAGTCTAGGACAAGGCACACATTTTGAGGTTTTCACCCTATAGGTATATGCCTACCAGGCCAGGCTGCAGTTCCCAACTGACTCCAGCCCCAGCCCCAGCCCCCAGCAAGCAGGTGACACAGCAGGGTGGTTGGGGCCAGCGAAGGAACCTCTGGCTTGTGTGGCGCACCCCTGGAGCAACTATGACCGGTTTCCCTGCTCTGCTGTTATGTGGAGTGTATAGCCACAGTTTCCAAGTGACTGTAGACAGGAGGTGCTGGGGTTATTCCAGAACCATCACTGCTTCCTTCCCTCTCCAGGTGGCCATCAAGGACAAGCAGGAAGGCATTGAATAGCAGGCCAAAAGGAGACTTGCTCAGGGCCTGTGAGGCTCCTGTCTACATGCTTCGGACCTTCTTGACACCCAGCAGAAAACAGCAGCCAGTCCCAGCCACAGCCCCCTCTGGTACTCCCCATCCAACACTGACACATCCTATACATAGACTGCTATTTTCCTAATAAAATATTGCAGGAAAAGACCCAAGTGCAACAGGGGTGATATCCTGGGTTGTCAGGCTTGATGGAGCCAGATGACCCTGACCATGGGCAAAGGGGCTTGCAGGAACAGAATCTGGGACTGCTGGGCCTGCCTGAGTTAATCAAGGAACTGCCCCTGAATGGGACTCACATGACCATACACAGCTTCCACAAGCTTCTATTACACAGTAGAGAATTTAATAAAAATATTAGTACAAAGACCTCTGTCATTAGCCGTGGGCTAATATGTTGTGCCCCTGGCACGCTGCCCTGCCCTGTCCAAGCTAGGGTCTCTTCCAGATGGCCACAATGTTGGAGTCTGTCAGAGCTGTGAGGTAGGTAAGGGCTGCGTTGGCCACCACTGTGTTTACCATTGTCTTGGTCACTGCCTGGCCCAGGGCCATGGGCTTGGGCCACTTCAGGATCTGTTGGGAAGAGAAGGGGCTGGGCTCCTGCTAGCCAGTACTACCCCAGAGGCCACCGGGAAGGAGCCTTGGGGTGTCTGTGTGGACACAGTACCTGTGTGGGTGCCTGCGGAGGTGCTGACAGTGGAGGCGGCTGCTTTAGAACCTGCTGGACATCATAGATCCACACGTTGCCCTCTTCATCCCCACACAGCACGAGCCCTTTGTCTATCAGAATGAAGGTGAGAGCCTAAGATGGGGCAAGGATAGGCAGGGGTCTGAGGTGGAGAGTAGGTGGGACAGGGTAGGTAGACTCACCAGGGCAGGTGCTGAGTGAGAAGTAGGCCAGCTCAGTAGATGACCATTGCAGCTGGGCTAGGATGACCACAGGCACTGTGGATCGGCTGCCCCGGCCCACCCATGTCTGGCTCCAGCTCCACAGGCAGATGGTACCCAGTCCACTCCCTTTGGAGGCTGCAGGCAGAGAAGGCGTGCCTGGGCTGGTCATGTGCCCAGACTGGTTGTTGCCATATGCTCCCTGTTCCCCAGGAGGTGCCTTGGCAGCCCTCAGAGCTGAGGCCCAGCCCAGGCCATCCCAGCTAGGCTCACTCACCCACGACATCCTCATTCACAAATGCCAGCCCGTCCACTCTCTGTCCAGATGTTTCGGAGCCCTCAGAGAAGACGAACTCCACCTCACACACCCTGCAGAAGATGCTAGAGCTACTATGGGCATAGAAAGCTGCTTGCTTGCCTAAAGCACTGCCTAAACCCTGCTTGGGGCTGGGCAGCTATGCCCTGAAAGGGAGTCAACAATTCGGTGTGTGAGTCATGGGGAAGGAAGGGTCTTCCAGAATGGGGTGCCAGAGAAGCAGGAGTTCTCTAGGATCCCACCACCACCACCAGGACCATGGACACACATTGGCCACCGCCAGTGTTCAAAGCTGAGTGCAGGGGACCAGTGAGGGTGGCACTTTGGGTAAAGGCACTGCCCATGCAAACCTGGTGATCTGAGTTTTGATTCCTAGAGCCCACATAAAGGTGAAGAGAGAACCAGGTCCATTAAGTCCTTTGACCTCCAGGTACACAATTTAAGAAATGAGAGGTAGCTAGCTGAGTATGGTCTAGTCTGGAAGGATGTGGGCCTGGCACCTGACCAGAAGGCAAACCTGAGCCAGTTGTCTGAGGGGACAAGGAGGGGCGGCAGGTACACCTGAGGGAGCAGAGGAAGTGGTCCAGATATTTCCTAGGCAAGGCAGGGAAGCCCATGTCTCCCATCACCAAGTGGCTGGTTGCCACCACACCCTGACAGGCCTCTTGGCTCTCTGGAAGCAGCTGGGCCACTCCTGTCAGCATCCTTTTGGGGTTGTTCCTTGTGCTAAGGGTTAAGATATAGAACCTTGGCCACTGATTGAGGACAGGCAGGGACACTATAAGAGCTTTATTGGGGGCTGATGAGATGGCTGGGGTGGGGTAAAGGTGTTTGTCACCAAGCCTGACAACCTGAGTTTTATCCCTGGGACCCAGAACTAACTGTTGAAAGCTGTCCTCTGACTTTTGCAATACAAATAAATCAATAAATGTCATAATAAATTTTTTAAGTGCACAGGGAGCCAGGCGTGGTAAGAGGTAGAGGTAGACAGATCTCTGTGAGTTCAAGTCCAGCCTGCTCTACATAGCAAGTTCCTAAGGAAGACCCTGTCTCCAAAAGACAAAAAAAAAAAAAAAAAAAAAAAACAGGGGCTGGAGAAATGGTTCAGTGATTAAGAGCACTTGCAGAGGGCCAGAGTTTGGTTCCCAGCACCCACAACAGGCTGCTTTCAACCACCTGTAACTCTAGCTCCATCAGATGGCTCTGACCTCTGCAGGCCCCTGAACTCATGTGCATATGTGCACACACAGATACATGTAATTAAAAATAACTTTAATAAAAATAAAAGCACACCAGAACTTCATTTGGTAGAAACTTACATGTATACACTGTTAACCGTTTGCTCTGAGGTAACCTTCAATCTAGACACTATATAAGCACTGGCTCAGAGAATTTCCTCAGTGGTCTTGGCTTATGAAAAACCCTCCTCCCTTGGGGGCTGGAGAGATGGGGGTTTGATTCCTAGCACCCACATACATGGTGGCTAAAAACCGTCCTTAACTCAGGGTCCAGGGGAATCCAAAGCCCTCTTCTGATCTCCTTGGCATTGCATGACACGGGTGCACTCACATACATGCAGGCAATACACTCATACACATAAAAATAATAAATAAAGCCGGGCGTGGTGGCGCAAGCCTGCAGTCCTAGCACTTGGTAGGCAGAGGCAGTGGATCTCTGTGAGTTCGAGGCCAGCCTGGTCTACATAGTTCCAGGACAGCTGGGGCTACAGGGAGACCCTGCTTCAAAAAGACCAAAAAATAATAATAAAATATTTTTAAAAACCCTCCTCCAATACAGAGATATTAATGAAGGAGTAGATTCTTTGAAACCAAGCTAGCCAAAGGCTGACCAGTGAGATGGCTCAGTGGGTTAAAACCATTTCCCTTGCAAACCTGGCCACTTGAGTTTGAGCCCTAGAACCTACATAAAGGTAAAAATTGAGAACGAACTCTACCAAGTTGTCCTCTGACCACATCCTTACAGTGGCATGTATGCCCCCCAAACACATGCATACACATTATGATAAAATAAGTCCCAATGAGCCAGGCATAGTGGTGCACACCATTAATCCCAGCACTCAGAAGGCAGAGGCAGGTCTGGTCTGCAGAGTGAGTTCCAAGACAGCTAGGGCTATAGGGAGACCCTGTCTCAACAAACAAAAAGTGCTAATGAGAGATGGCTGGAGAGGCAGACTCTCTTCTGGCCTCCCGGATGACAGGCTCTCTGACTCTCCTCTGGCCTCCCAGATGGCAGGCTCTCTGCCTCCCCTCTGGCCTCCCGGATGGCAGGCTTTGACTCCCCTCTGGCCTCCAGGATGGCAGGCTCTCTGACTCCCCTCTGGCCTCCCGGATGGCAGGCTCTCTGACTCCCCTCTGGCTGGACGGATGGCAGGCTCTGCCTCCCCTCTGGCCTCCCGGATGGCAGGCTCTCTGCCTCCCCTCTGGCCTCCCGGATGGCAGGCTCTGCCTCCCCTCTGGCCTCCCGGATGGCAGGCTCTCTGCCTCCCCTCTGGCCTCCCGGATGGCAGGCTCTGCCTCCCCTCTGGCCTCCCGGATGGCAGGCTCTCTGACTCCCCTCCGGCCTCCTGGATGGCAGGCTCTCTTGACTAAAGCACAGATTTAACATTCAATTTCCATCTCTGCTCACTGCCTTCTGTGAGCGACAGGCAGCACAAACCAAATTCCACTAATACCACAGCTCACAAAGTCCAGCACCCACTGCCTGGGCAGCCTTGCCCTTCACCATGGCTATGACCCTCCGCTGTGCCAAAATGGTCCATCAAACTCTCTCCACCCCTGGCCTGTGCATCTGCTGTTCCCTGTCAACTCTAGGGTCTCTGGAAGAACAACCATCAGGTTGCCTCATGCCTTTTAACTGATGTCACCCTCTGGGGCTTTTTTTTTTTGAGACAAGGTCTCATGTAGCCCAGTATATCCTCCCACACTCTAGGTAGCCAAGGATGATGTAACTTGTACCTCTACCTCTCAAGTGCTGGCATCAGAGGCACGCATTTCCACACACTTGGTTTATTTGGTGCTGGGGGATTGGACCCAGGGCTTCATGAATATTTGGCAAGCACTCTACCAACTGAGCTACAGCCCTCACCCTCTTGGGCACAAGTTTAATGCCATCTTCCTGACTGGCCTATGCCCCTTGAGGGCAGTGAACCCATACCGAGCTGTCTTGGAGGCTTCTCACATGGATACAAAGGTTTATCACTAAAGCTTCTTCCCTGACCAGACCCCATCTCCACTCCCCTGACAAGAGCCCTGGGATATAAGCCACCACTGCCTCTTCACAGACTGGGACATGAGGCTTAGGCAGGAGATTCACACTGTTGAGTCACAGCATGGTGGTTAAAGGTGAAGAGAGGCCCCTGAACACAGTCTCTGAGGCAGCCCAGGCAGCAGTGTGGTGTGCCAGGGTTGCCTGGGGACCATGTGCACCTGCCGCCCCAGCTCTGAGGTCCAGCATCCTCACCTCCGCTTCTGGGGCTGGTCTAAGCGCACGTCCCAGCAACAGCATCCACCCTCACAGCCAGCCAGCAGGTAGGCATCAGGGCAGGAGGCAACCGGAGAGAGGCGCAGGGGGATGGAAGCAGAGTCCAATATGAGGAGCTGACTGTGAACAGATGTGTATATAGGAAATCATGAGCCTCCAGACCCTAAGCCTCACCCCAGCAGCCTGCCCCTCCCAGGCCATCCCACAGCCTCTCACCTGGCCTGGAACTCATAGTCATGATTGGGCATCCCGATGTCCCAGAGGATGATCCGTTTGTCATAAGAGGCCGCTAAGGAGAGGACCAGTTAAAGTAGGGAGCCCTATGGAGACCTTGCAGGCTGAGGCTGTGGGTCCCCTGGAGCTTATCAATAGCAGGGAGGGCAGATAGTGGCCAGGATGAGGACTCATGAGCCTACAATCCTCAGACTCCTGCCTGAATCTAGCATGCAAAGTGACACAGCCATCTTTGTGGTTCATCCATCATCTGTGCTAAGCTCACCACACCTGACGGCCAGGAATAACTACCCAGGTTCCCGATGGGAAAACAGAGCAACTCACGTTGCTGGAAAACTTCAAGGCCACACAGCAGGTTGGAGACAAAACTAGAATGGGAATCCCAGTTGACTAGAAGTTGCATCACTTCCTATCAAAGCCATCTGGGTCCAGAAGCCTCTGAACCTTACCATCCTGGGGAGGGGACACTGAGGCCAGGGCAGATAAGACTATGATGCTAGGAAAGGCCCAAGGTGAGGGTCTTACTGAAGAGGTGAGTCTCATAGGTGGGGCTGAAGCAGAGGGTGGCAATGGCCTTCTTATGGGCCCGGATGACCCCGCAGCAAAAGCCTGCACGCACATGCAGTAGCCGGATCACGCCCCGCAGGCCTGCAGCTGCCAGCACACTCCAACGCTTCTTGTGGCCTGTCTGGGTGACCACTGTTAGGACTGTCCAGGCCACAGAAAAGAATTCCTGATAAGGAAGGGGAAGTGGTCATGAGCAGGGGAACAAGTGGCAGCTTACTGGGTGGGCTAGTCTGGGGAAGTGAGATCCTGCAGCAAAGAGAAGCTCCTGGGAGGTATGGGGTGGCTCGGTGGTGGAGCATCTGCCTAGAATCCCCCAGTGAAGGGCTGGAGGGTGTGTGGCTCAGTGGTAGAGCACTTTCCTAGGATCTCCCAGTGAGGGGCTGGGGGTCTGGCTCCAAGGTAGATGCCTGTGGCCCAGGTTCTAACCCTCCAAAAAAACAAAAACGGGGCTGAAGAGATGGCTCAGTGGTTAAGAACACTGGTTGTTCTTGCAGAAGACCAGGGTTCGAATCCCAGCACCCACATGGCAGCTAACAACTGTCCGTAACTCCAGTCCCAGGGGATCCCACAGCCTCTGACCTCCGCAGGAATTGCACGACATGGGTGCACTTACCTACATGCAGGCAATACATGCATACACATAAAAAAAAAAATTAAAAACAAAGGTGGTAGGGGTGGGGACAGATAGCCTATCTTGGACCTCCAATCCCAGAGCTCCTACCACAGCACCCAACACTATGCAGAAATGGGTCCCTAACACTCACCTCGCCTGGAGACTTGTATTTGTGGAGTATGATGCCCATCTGGCAGTCTATCACGCAAACAGCCTCTCCACCACATGTAGCCACAGTCTGGGACGTGGATCCTGAGTGCCCTGTTTATGGGATCACCTGAGTAAATATGTTTTCTGTAAAGTTCCTTCCTGCTGCTCCCTTTTTCTGGCCTCCATGCCACTTAACTTTTTCTGGCATATACGGGATGAACTCATAGCCTCCTGCATGATAGGCAAGAGCTCCACCACTAAGTTACATCCCTAGCCTTCTTTTTACTATATATATATATATATATATTTTTTTTTAATTTACTTATTTATTGGCCTGGAACTCACTATGTAGACCAGGCTGGCCTCAAACTCACAAGAGATCCACCTGCCTCTGTTTCCTGAGTGCTGGATTAAAGTTATGTGCCACCACATCTGGCTTATTTATTTTCATTTTATGTGTATGTGTGTATGAGTGTTTTGCCTGCATGTATGTAAGTGCACTGTGTTATACAATGCCCACGGTGGTCAGAAGAGGGCATTGGATACCCTGAAACTGGTGTTATGGATGGTTGTTAGCCACCACGTGGGTGTCAGGAATCGAACCCAGGATGTCTAGAAGAGCAGCCAGCATTCTTAACCACTGAGCCATGTCTTTTGGGGGTTTGTGCACATGAGTGCAAGTGCCTGTGAAGGACAGAAGACGGCATCGGATCCCCTGGAGATGGAGTTACAGACAACTGTGAGCTCCCCCACATAGGTGCTGAGTATTGAACTCCAGCCCTCTCCAAGAACAGCAAGTACTCTTAACCACTGAGCCATCTAACAGGCCCCTCTTTTTACTCTTTGTTCTGACACAAGGTCTTACTAATTTTCCCAGGCACCTTTTAATCTCTGACCCCCACTGAGCACACTTGTGTGGCCTGGGCCTCCCAACACCCTCTGCCTCTGTACCACGCACCCTCCTCCCGAACAGGCTCAAAGGCGCAGGACCACAGCTGTGTCTCTAGGTCTTTTGGGCTGTTGTTTCTGCTGTGACACTGTAGGAAGTGCAGGGGCTCCAGCTGCAGGGAGGCCTGTGGGGACACAGGAGGTCAGGGCTGCTCTGGGCATGCCCTGTCTGCCTCCCCCCATCCCTGACACCCAGGAAGCTTACCTGTCCTCCATCAGAGTCCACAGATAGGTCCTCCATCTTAGCTGGCAGGGAGACACGAAGTCTCTTGGAGGAAGATAGGTTGAGTGGGACATCATCAGGCTGTTTTGAGGTCATCATTCTGGCCTGCTGAGGGAGAGCGGGGCTTGTGACCATGTGACCACTGGCTCAGGAGCTTCCTTTCCCCCAACTAAAGTCCCCCAAGAGCTGAACTGCACCCTCTTGTGGGTACAGAAAGCAAGAGCTGATACATGGTCATGGAGCAAACTTACTGTTAGGGTTGGAAACATGTCGCCCAAGGGTCCGTAGGTTAAAAGCCTTGGTCAGCAGCCTATGGACTAACTGGAGGGTATAGGTGACATCGCCTTGAAGGGGACACAGGGACATTGGTTCCTTTCTCTCTCTGCTCCTGGCTGCCATGAGGTACAAAGATCTCCCCCTCTACATGAACTCAACATGTACATATGGCCTCAGCACAGGTGCACAGCAATTGGGAGATAAGACTGTGGACTGAATCCCTGAGCCAAAACAAAACTTTCCACCTTATAAGTTGATTATCTCAGGTATGATGTCACAGCAAAGGAAGGCTGACTAACATGCTAAGGCATCCTTCCCATCTCCTGAGTTCATAGAGGACCCTCTGTGCACTAGTGCAGCTGTGTGGAAATACTCACCCTGGGCTTGCAGGCAGCTGTGGCTTGGGGAGACTTCTTTGAAACATCTGCTTCATGCACCTGGGTCCCACCTGAGGCTGCCAGTTCCTCGGAGATCATCCGCACCTGGATGAGTCCAGGCCCTCTTAGGTGTTCTTAGCCCCTCCCCAGCCATCTGGTTAGAAGGAGCTTTGCTTCTCAAGGTGGGAAAGGGCCTGCGTGGCCACCAGGGCTCCATTCCCTGACCCATTCCACTCCCCATAGTTCCTCAATTCATCGCAAGGCAGGGACTTCTCCAGGACAGCCCAGAGCCAGGGACATCGACTCCCAGCACAATGTTGCCGGGTGACATACCCTCCACTGAGTGAATTCGCTGAGGGACTCAGGACCGTAACACACATCCCTGACAGCAGATCTCACAAAATCAGCCCGAGCTTTCTCAGCATCCTCTTCAGGGTCCCGGGTGGTCAGGAACTTCTGCCAATAGGCTCTAACCTGGTGTGAGAGGGACCAGAACCAGGCCCAGCTCATCCCAGCAATCCTGGCCACATACAGCACGTCTACCCTCCTCATGATCACAAGGTATGTTAACTATACTGCCCTCTGGAAGCTTCTGCAATTATAGTCTCTTATCTGTAGCTGGATAAACCCTAAGCAACATGTAATGGCCTGGTATGATAGGACATAGTGGTGTACACCTGTAATCCCAGCACTTGGGAGGCAAGGCAGGAGGATTCTGAGTTCTAGGCCAGCCTGGGCTAAATGGTGAGTCCTAGGCCAGCCTGGACTACACAGCTAGACCTTATCTCTGAAGAAACAGCCCATCACAGAGTTCCTCTGCAAGAGTCCTAGCTTCCTGCCATTCCTATAGTACCAAATACAGAAAGCAAAACAACCAGGCTTAGCATAACAAGTCAAGCTTGGGGCTGTCAGGCAAGGTCCCCTGCTACACACCTCCCAATATCTACTTCCATTCCTCCCTATGCCCTTACCCTGTTGGTGAGCTCCTGGTTCAGATTCTCCACCTGAGAACAGGTTGCTGACATATCCTTGCCATTGATCTTCCGCAGCTTGGGCAGGAGAAAGGACACTTTCAAGTTGTCATTGACCTAGGTGATGGGGGAATAACAAAGTCAGGGGTGGGTGGTGCACACCTGTAATCCCAACACCCAGGAGAGCTAAGCAAGTGTCTCTAGCCTAGGCTATATAGCAAGACTTTGTCTCAAATAAGAAAAACAACAAAATTTGAGGGGGGGGGCAACAAAAACCCAAACAGGGGTGAGGATATAGTTGGTAGAGGGTTTCCCTGGCAGGCAGCAAGCCCTGAGTTGGATCCCCCAGCACCACATAAAAACTGGGTGGTACATGGCCAGCCCTCGGGAGGTAGAGGCTGGAAGATCAGAAGTTCAAAGTCATAGGCTGGAAAGATAGCACAGTGGTTAAGAACATTGGCTGCTTTTGAAGAGGAGCTGGGTTCAATTCCTAGCACACACAGGATGGCTAACAGCTGTCTGTAACTCCAGTTCCAGGGGATCTGACTCCCTCTTCTGGCCTCCATGGGCATTACACATGTGTGGTGCACTTAATATATGCAGGCAAAACACACATACACATAAAATAAAAATAAATCAAAAAAAAATTTTTTTTAAAGTTCAAGGTCATCCTTGGCTATATAGTTGTTTGAGGCCAACCTGGTCTACATGAGACCCTTTCTCAAACAAAACCAAACCCAGAAGGGCTAGTGAAGTCTGAGGTGCTCCTCTCGCCCCCAAAGAGTACTGGTCCTGGGCAAAGGGCTGTTGGGGAGGCCTCTCACCGTCAGGAAGGGATTGCCTTCCAGGCTCAGTTCCTCAAGCTCTGGGAACTGAGCCAAGGTAGTGACATCCCACAGTTGGTTGTTGGCGCAGTGGAGGATGCGCAGGTGGGGCAGGCCCACGTTGGGAGGCAGCGTCTCCAGCAGGTTGTCAGAGAGGTCCAGCTCCTGCAGCTGCTTCAGGCGGGCCAAAAGGCTGGGGTCCAAGTGCTCTGACAGCAGCTTCAGCCCAGACAGGCTAGGGTGAGGGCAGGCAAGAAAGCACAGAGGGCAGGCTGACTGCGTCATTCCACAGCACCCCAATGGGCCCCACAAGAATTTTCACCTGCTATTTCTTCTGCAGGCACGGGCAAGCCCCGCCCCCCGCCACTTTTTTTTTTTTTTTTTTTTTTTTGAGGCAGTCTCACTATGTAGACCAGGCTGGCCTGCCTTCGCCTCCCGAGTGCTGGGGTTAAAGGCATGAGCTAAACAGGACCGTTTGGTTTGGTTTGATTTCGTTTGGTTTGGAACACCGTAGCCCAGACTAGTCTGAAACTCACTATATAGTCCAGGTTGGCCTCTAACGCAGGGCGTTGGTTTTACTCGCGAGTGCGAGATCTTGTAACGACTTTGGAACCAGAGGACGCAAAGCTTCCTCTTGAATGTTTTTCCCAATCTCCGCCGGCTCCTCTGGGCTACTCCCCTCAATACTTTCTTGAATTCTCAACAACTTTCTAATCCGTCTGGGGCTGCAAAAGTCCCGCGCATGTCTACAGACAAGACCTTCCGCGCACGCGCGAGCTCCCCGGCGGGAGCCAGAGTCGAATAACGGGATAACGGCGGCAGGCAAGGGATGGGGAAGGGTACCGGCTTTGCATCCCGCCCATTGGGTGATCCGGACTGGGAAAGGAGACCTGCCGCGGGGGCCCCCAACCGGGATCCAGCTTCAGCCCCCCGCCTGCTCTTACTCCAGACTCCGGATCCTTCCAAGCCTGTCGGTCTTCGGTCGCCCTCGTTGTATGAGCAGCCGCGCCGTGAGGGGACCCATGGGTGTTCGTGGGGACCGCGGCCCGGCGCTGGCCCGGAGCCCAGCCGAACCCCCGCTGGCCCGAAGCCCGGTCACGGATGCCCGCAGCCACGGAGCCCAGGAGGTGGCGCCGCGTAAACCCTCTGTGAGGCCGCGGCGACCGGAAGGAAGCAGAACTCCAGACACGGGCCCCGCCCAACTCCGTGCGCAGGGACTACAACTCCTAGCAGCCCCCGCGCGGCCTGGCTGTCCCGACCGCACAATGGCGGCTCTGGCTGCGGCGGCTGTTGCTGCTGAGGTTCCTGAAAGTATCCAGGAGTGCGGCTGCAAGGGCATCCGGACCTGTCTGATCTGCGAGGCACAGTGCCACCGGGACCCGCCCTGGCAGCGCTCCCTGCAGGTAAGGGCTGGGACAAGATTCATACCCAGAAAAATTCTTGCCTCATATGGTGAAACTGAAGCCCAGCTTGGCCATAAGACCGGCAGGGATTAAAGCCTAGAGGCGTTAATTTAACATCTGGGGTTAACCATGAAAAAGTGCTGAATACTAGGTCGTCCATATGGGAAATCCATCCATCCAAACGGGCAATGGATAAATGAATGAAAAAAAGTATTTGTGCTGCCTTGGCAGTCCTGTAGCAAGTTGCCAGGGCCAATAGTTAGGAGATTACTTGGGAAAGGGGCCTGGGGTGGTCAAGTGAGGTGACGCTTCAGAGATCCAAGGGGCCTGGGCACAAAAGGCCCTGAGTCACTGAACAGGCTGGATGTGTTCTAAAAGGTTTTAAAGGAGTTGCAATGTTCACATAAATGCATATAGGCAAAACACTCATACACATAAAACGTGTGTGCACACAAGTGCAGGTGCCAGTGGAGGCCAGAAGAGGGTGTTGGATCTTCTTGAGCTGGAGTTACAAGAGGTTGTGAGCTGCCTGATGTGGATTCTGGGAACTGAATTCAGGTCCTCTGGAACAGCAGCAAGCTCTTTTAACCACTGAGCCACCATTAGATGGTAAATTTTAGCTAGACATGATGATACATGCTTGCAATACCAGCACTCAGGAGACTGAAGCAGGAAGATGGGGAATTTAGGGCCACCCTGGGCTACATAGAAACACCCCCAAAAGATACTAAATTTTATATTCTGCTGCGGGGGGGTGATGATGAATCTACATAATGTCCATCTCCCTCCTCCCTTGCTACAAACAACAATCCAAGGTTTAATTCTCACAGAGATCTGCCTGCCTCTGGCTCTTGAGTGCTGGGATTAAAGGCATGTGCCACCACACCCAGCTCCACCTAGTTTTTTTTCATATGGGTTCTGGGGACTGGAACTCAGGTCTGCCACTCTGCCAACTGAGCCATCACCTGACCTCCATCTCTGTCTTTTACAGAAACCATACCATTTCCTTTATTGCCCGGACACAGGCTGGGCTGTGGGGGCTGAGGACTCTGACTATGAGGGCTGGGCCTTCCCCTTCCCGGGAGTGACAGTGATAGAGGACTTTGTGACCCCAGAGGAAGAGATTGAGATGGTACGTCTGATGGACCGTGACCCCTGGAAGCTCTCCCAGTCTGGGCGGAGGAAACAGGTATGATGGTCCCAACTAGCCTGAGGGCTGGCCTGGCCTGGCCTGACCTGACCTGACCTGAAGGACAGCCTTGGTTTTCATGAGAAAGTCATAGATCCCTGAAGGGTCCCTGGCTTTCTCCTCTCTGGCCACAACCCAAGTATCCTGGGTAGAGACTGGGTGGCCTGTCTGATAGGTGTGTGGGCCTTTTTGTAAGGTGAGGCTGTCCCCCATCTCCAACCCCTCCTGCAGTGTCTTATTGGTAGGGAGATCATGGTAAGTTCTAGGTAGGGCTCTCCATCTTGCGTGGCTGCTGGAGGCTGCCAGGTGCCACCCCTTACCATCACATCCCTTGCCCTCAGGGACCACAGTCCCCTTCCTCCGACTTTTCCTCCTCTCACCCAACTTCTGTAACATGGTCATTTCCTATGGCAGCTTCCAAGGTGCTCCCTCACCCTCTGTTCCTGGCATCATACTGTTTGGTTAGAGCCAGCTGAAGGAGCCTCTCTGGCTTCTCTGAAAGCTGGAACCACCTCTCTGCCCCAGCCACCCACTGTATTTCCCTTTCCCCGCTCCCTTGCAGAAGCCCTGTCTGTGATATCAACTTCACTTTCCCCGGGTTGACCTGACTCATCTCTCTGGTGCTCTAGGCAGTGCCAGTTAGCAGAATTTTTTTCTCTTTTTTATTATTAAAGACTTTATTATTTAAAGTTTTTGATTGCTTAAATTTTATTTATTAATTTGTGTGAGTATTTTGCCTGTACCCATGTCATGGAGTGCTGGGAGGCTAGAAGAAGGCATCAGGTCCCCCTGGAACTTGGAATTACAGTGGTTGTTAGCCACCATGTAGGGGCTGGGAACTGAACACCAGTAACCTGCAAAAGTAGCCAGTGCTTTTAACTGCTGAACCATCTCTCTAGACCTACCATTATTTTTTAAATTATGTCTATATGTGTGTGTCTGTGTGGTTGTGCACCTGCATGCAGGTACCCTTGGAGGCCAGAAGAGGGAGTCAGATCCCCTGAAACTGGAGTTAAGGACAGATAAGGCCATTTCCCCAGCCTCAGGGTTGGCATTTCTTAATCTGAGCTGTTTCCCCACTCATGTTTGTTCCTACCCTTCAGGATTATGGCCCCAAAGTCAACTTTCGGAAGCAGAAACTAAAGATGGCGGGCTTCCAAGGTCTCCCCAGCTTCAGCCAGAAGGTGGTTCAGAGAATGGGGCTCTACCCGGGTCTGGAGGACTTCCAGCCAGTGGAACAGTGTAATCTCGACTACAACCCAGAACGGGGCTCAGCCATCGATCCCCACATAGATGATGCCTGGCTGTGGGGTGAACGACTGGTGAGCCTCAACCTCCTGTCTGCTACTGTGGTGTCCATGTCCCATGATGCCCCTGACAGCCTGCTGCTGTGCTCAGCCCCTTACATTGGACCGGATGCCTTTGCAGGCAGCATCGAGACTCCCAGCAGGTCTGTTCCCTGCCAGAAGGTGGAAGTAGCCATTTCCATACCCTGCCGCTCCTTGCTGGTGCTGGCAGGGCCTGCACGGCACCAGTGGACACATGCTATCCACCGCAGACATATCAAGGCCCGCCGGATCTGCAGCACTTTCAGAGAGCTGTCAGAGGAGTTCCTACCTGGGGGCAAGCAGCAGGAACTGGGGTACCAGCTGCTGCAGGTGGCACTGACCTTTCAAGGAAGACCCATCTGAGCTGCCTCCCTGGGGACAAAAGCTGCCACCAGCCTGACCAGAAGCATGGCTCCAACTCTGACTGCTGGCTGGGGTCTCTCCCCAACTCATTAGATCTTGGGAGGTTTTTTTTTTGGAGACAGGATCTCATGTAGCCCAGTCTGGCCTTGTGGCCTCAACTGACTATGTAGCCAAGGATGACTCTGAATTCTTTTTTTTTTTTGGTTGTTTGACACAGGGCCTCCTGTAGCCTCCGCTGGCCTGAAACTTGTTATATACACATGATCTCACAGAGCTCCGCCTGCCTCTGCCTCCGAGGTGCTGGGATTATAGGCATGCACCATCATGCCTGGCTTCATCAAGATTTTCTTTTTTCTTTGTGAGACAGGGTCTTTTTTTTGGGGGGGGGGTCTTTTTGAGACAGGGTTTCCCTGTAGCCCCAGCTGTCCTGGAACTCACTATGTAGACCAGGCTGGCCTTGAACTCACAGAGATCTGCCTGCCTCTGCCTCCCAAGTGCTGGGACTACAGGCATGTGCCATCACACCCAGCTCATGTATGTCTCTTAAGCTATGACATAAAGACCTTCCTGAAGCAGGAGGATCACAAGGTTGAGGCTAGCTTGAGCCTAATAGGCCTCACTGTCACCCACAGCCATACCTCTCAGATAGTCTGTTTGTGCCAGGCACTGGGCTGGGACTGGAGAACCTGGGCTGGTGCTAGATCATAGCTTGGCTCCCAGGCTCCAGGGTCCCCTGGTCTCTAGCAGTCACCTCGGGCAGAGGATGACAGCATATGCTCACTGGTACCATAAGCAACCTGCACATATCCCTTAGCACACTTTGCCAAGGTAAGGGCCTGATCCAGGCTGTGTGGACTATACTGACTACTCTGATGCTGTGTGTCAGCTTTGGACAAAGAGAAATGAATCCTGTGGGGCACAAAGGTCCACTCTGGGCATCTTCCTCTGGTTTCTTGTGCAGGGTAAGAAGGGGGTGGCCTGGAATCCCAGCACCTGGAAGCAGAAGCAGGAAGATTGTGACTTCCAGGCCAGCCTGGGCTACATATTCAATTCAAGGCCAGACTGAGTGACAGTGAGATTTTGTCTCAAGATATAAAGGGGCTAGAGAGATGGCTCAGCTGTTAAGAGCATTGGCTGTTCTTGCAGAGGACCTGGGTTCAGTTTCCAAAACCCACATGGCAGCTAACAACCATCCATAACTCCAGTTACAGGGGATCTGATGCCTTCTTCTGGCCTCCAAAGGCACTGCACACACATGGTATGTGTACATATTTGTAGGCAAGGCATTCATAAACATAAAGATTAATTTAAAAAAAAATAGAGGGGCTAGAGAGTTGGCTTACTGGTTAAGAGCACTGGTTGCTCTTGCAGAGGACCTAGGTTTGATTTTCACCACCCACATGGTGGCTAACAACCATCTCTAACTCCGTTTATGCCTTCTTTTGACCTCTGTGGGCATTTCACTTACATGCATACAGGCAATACACTCATACACATAAAAATAATTTTTAAAAATAATAAATAGATCATATTAGAAAAACAAAAAAGAAACCATACCTCCATTATAAGCACTGACTTCCTCAGGCCTGTTAAATGGTCTTACTGGCTGGCTCTATACTGAGCCCAGTTCTACTCCTTGGCCTGTGTAGCTGCCATCTGGGTCCCCTACTTTCAATAGACAGGTGCTTGCTGCTCTATCCAGTGGACTCTTGGAAGTCTCTGGGTTGAAGTCCTGGATCCTTAATGACATTAAAGGACAGAAATCTTTCCTAGGAGGAGCTGGAGAGATGGCTGAGTTGGCAGACACAAGCTCCATTCACAAATAAAAAAAGCCAGGTTTGGGGCTGGAGAGACAGCTCAGTGGTTAAGAGCACTGGCTGCTCTTGCAGAGGACCTGGGTTTGGTTCCCAACACCCACATCATGGCTAACAACTCTGTAATTCCAGTTCCAGGCGCTCTCTTCTGGCCTTTGCAGGCTCTGCACACACATGGTGCACTTAACATGTAGGCAGGCAAAATGCTCGTCTACATAAAAACAAATTTTAAAAAATTATAGCCAGGTTGGTGGTAGCAGGCACCGTAATCCCAGCATTTGGATCAAGGAGACAGGAGGTTCCCTGAGGCTCCCTGATGAGCTAGCCTAATCTAATGGGTGAATTCTCAGTCAAGTGAAAGACCCTGTCTCAATGAAAGAGACGGTGGGAGAGGGTTGCCACCTGAGGTTGACCTGTAGCTTTCACAAGTTGTGTGTGTGTGTGTGTGTGTGTGTGCACGCACGCACACACACACACAGACACCTTTCTTAAGAGGGAGGAACCTCTTGGTCTGGTTAAATGTTCTGAAATGGAGTGTCTAGGTGGTACCAAGTGGATAGCCTGGGCAGTGGCGGGACCAGCACCTCATCTATCTGACCACCTCTTTGATGGGTTTTGTTGGACTTAGCCACCCACATGGGCCTGCCCCTCCCTTCCCTCTCACTTTGGGAAAGGAAGCCAAGCAGAGACTCACTGCTACACTGCAGGGTTGCCTTGGGGCTCCAGTTAACCTCACTCAGAAAATGTCTGTCCCAGCACCCTGCCTGTCCATTCTAGAAAGTTCCATGCCCCACCCCTTGGGGCAGTGACTATTAATAAAATGTGGCACATAAGCTCCATGCCAGGATGAGGGTCAGCAGGCACCAGGATGGACCCCTCACACCATGGCACACACACCTCAGAAGCATAGTGGGATAGCTTTACCAATTTATTCAGGTCAATCTAGGGCAACTGTTTTTTAAAAATCCACTTACAGAGCCAGGCATGGTGGCACATGCCTTTAATCCCAGCACTTGGGAGGCAGAAGCAGTCAGATCTTTGTGAGTTGGAGGCCAGCCTGGTCTACCTAGTGAATTCCAGGACAGCTGGGGCTACAAGGAGACCCTGTCTCAAAAAAAAAAAAAAAAAAAAAAAAAACCACTTACAGGAGTTCTCTGCACAACATGGAGCAGAAACAGTGGCACAGGCAGATGTTGGGCAGGTGAGGCTTGAACCCTCTGGGCTCTTGTAGTTTGTCCTCAATAGACCTTTCTTGAAGACATGAATCATGTTCTTTTGCAGTTTCTAAAATAGAAACACTTCAATTTGGAAACTAAGTCAGGAGTATGTGGAGACTGTATGCCATGCTGGAAAGGGCCTCAGCGTGTGAGGGTGCTGGTCCCAGGGGCACTGCGATGGCTGATCATAGATGAAATTAGGACAAGCCTGTGCTAGCCCCAGGGGCCCCACGAGGCACTAGCCACGTGGTGGCCACAGAATCTGATGCAAAATCAGGTTACATCTCCAGAAACCCAACTTCCAGCCTCCAGCCTGCCATGATGGATTGTGCCACGATTTGAGACAGGAGTTCATCCTTCAACTTCACACAAAGCTCTGGGGTAGCCCTGTGGTTCCTGTCCATTGGTCCCCACATGCATGGTCTCTTCTGTTCACAGACGACTGTCCTATGCCTTAGAACTGGAATGGCTGGAGGGGGAGAGTATGAGAAATTGTACAAGCGAGGCACTATGTTAAGTGCTGAGTGTTCCATGAGCCAGGGCACCAAATGGACCCAGAAGATGGACTGTAGGAATGAGTCCAAAAGGCATTCCCCACTTTCTTTGGATTGTTTGAGACAGGGTCTCCCTGTAGCCCCAGCTGTCCTGGAACTCACTATGTAGACCAGGCTGGCCTTGAACTCACAGAGCTCTACTTCTCTCTCCCTCCTGAGTACTGGGATTAAAGGTGTGCACCACCACACTCAGCTAGATTTATTTTTTTATGTGTGTGTGTGTGTGTGTGTGTGTGTGTGTGTGTTGTGTCCACGGACAACTTGTGGAATTCAGTTTTCTCCTCCTACCATGTGGGTCCTGGAGGATCAAACTTACATCATCAGGCTTGGTGGCAAGCTCCTTATACCTGCTGAGCCATCTCACCAGCCCATATTCAAAAATTGTTTAGCAAAGCAAGCAAATTAAACTAGACTGGCTTTTCCAAAAGGCTCTGGGAAAGCTTACATGCACTAGTAGACAAGGGATCTCAGACACATGTCTTCAGAGGGAGGTGAAGGACATGCCTTTGAAAGATAGACTGGCCTCACAGGACACCATGTCCTATCTCCTTGGAGATGACAGTTTACAGGGGAGATTCTCCATATGCCTCCCTAGGGTCTCAGCTTCTCCGGGTTGTGTATTTGAGGTTTATACCCTTGGCAGCCTGCCCCATTTCCAGAGACACTAACGAGGCCCTCCAGGAGCCAGCAGTACCCAATCCAGATCCCAGAGACAGAAAGCTATTGTAAGAGATGGAAGCCAGGTAAGCAGAAGCTCAATGACCATTTATATACAGAATATAAGACAAAGCCAGCGACACTGCAAAATTGAGTAAACACAGTGTCCCCGCTGTACGCAGTGCAGCAGCTCCCACACAAGCAGGTGCTGTACCATGGGGTGCAGACAACAGTGCCAGCTGGGTGGCCAGAAGTGTGTAGTGACAATGCCAAGCTCATGCACAGCTGTGTAAACATGGGGGCAGGGATTTGCACACACTGAGTGTCCTGGCAGGCCAAGCCATGAGATGCTGAGGATTCCTCTTCCCTGCAGTTGCTCAGTGCTATCCCGAGGAACATCTGTCTGTGGCTGGCAGGCCAGGATGGCCCTGGCTAACACAGGGCCCCCAGAAGATCCTTCAACACCTGGGGGCCATTGGGGACTTGGGTGGACCATCTGTGACCAGTCAGGCTCCAAGGTGGCAGGAAAAGGGAATCAGCTTTTTGCATTTCAGAACATCCTCCATGAACTTGACTTCTTTAAATAGGCACCCTGCATGATGACCTATCACTTCTACCGTACCAGGCCTTCCACACTCAGCAATCTCCCATAGGGCCTGGCAACCTGCCACACTTACTGAGCTGCTGTGTGGCCCAGGCTCCTACTCTCCCTACCTTAGCCACAAGCCATGCCACCCCAATCCCTCCAGGGCTGAGAAGGAAGAACCAAGCTAAGCTGCACCAAAGTTACCATGATCCAGCACCAACCACCAGGCCTACCGCTGCATTCAGGAGCAACTTGTTATGACGGTCTCGTGGAGCCCAGGCTAACCTCAAAGTCACTATGTAGAAGAGGATGACTTTGAACTCCTGATCCTCCTGGTTCCACAACCCTAGTACTAGGATGACAAGCCTGCACCACCATGCCCAGTTTATGCAGTGCTGATGTTCAAACCCAGGGCCTTATGCATGCTAGGCAAGTGTGTTACCAACTGAGCTACATCCCCAGCTGCACAATCTATCTTCTGAACTCATAGCCCTACCCTATTGGTTATAAGGTCCAGATCTCTGGGATCTCCTGTGATATCTGGTGCTGCTGGGACCCCTTGCCAGGACCTGCCCCTAAGCCAGGAAGTCCCCAGGGCCATGTGCCCTGCACCTGTTAGTGGTGCAGCCTCCATGTTGAACTGGTTAGTGTCTCCATTCCAAGAGACCCTTATCCATGCTTAGACGGGAGTAAAACTTTGGTCTGGAACTATCAGGCGGCGTCTGGGCAGCCTGCTTAGCAACCCGCTGCGGTGGTTCTCAGCAGCTAGTGCTTGTCTGGCAGCCCCTGGCCACTCATACCACCTGCAGGCTTCTCTCATGCCCATCCAACTGCACTTTGAGCTTGTGCAGTTCTTCGATCTCACGGTTGTGACGCTCCGTCTTGTGCCGCACCAGCGAACGGTAGAAGTGGATGGTAAAGACCACGAAGATGAGGCCCACGGGCACCATGATGATGGTTGACACCAGTGCTGCCTGCCAGCCAGTGTGGCCACTGGAGCCCAGCTGGCCCCTGGCATCCACTGGGAGGAACTTGATCCAGCACAGCAGCACCACCTCAGCCAGGAAGAGCAGGATGCCTAGCACAGTGGAGAAGCCCCACGCCAGCTCAATGTAGGGGTGCATGCGTTCGTGTGGTGACTCGCTGATGGAGTTGAGGTTGTGGATGTTGCTCACCGCTTCCACGTTGGGCAGGATGCATGTGCTGATAAGCAGCGCAAACAGGTGCACGGCCACCAGCACTGTGGTACAGGCGCTAAAGGCGATGAGCAGTGGCTGCGGGTACTGGTACTGTGTCTCCAGCTGTACTTCCACCATGGCCACCTGTGGGCACAGTAGGGGTGAGGCTGGGTGGGCAGGGCTGCACCTCGCCATGGCATAATGGGGTGGGTGGGCACACTAGGTAAGCACTGCACTGCTGAGCCACACTCCGGCCCCTCACTGGGGCATTCTAAGCAGGTTCAGTACCACTGAGCCATTCCCTCAGCCCCTTATTAGGGGATTCCAAGCAGGTACTCTACCTGATGAGGCACATGCCCAGCCCTGTACTGGGGAATTCTAGGCAAGTACTCTACCACTGGGCCTCAGCTTGTTTTTACTTTTTAAAAGATCAGTTTTATCCAGGCCTAGCAGGGCATGTCTATAATCCCTGCACTGGGAAGACAGACAAGAGGATTATAAATTCAAGGTCAGCCTGGGTTACATATGGAGACCATGGAGGAGAGAGTAGGACTGTACCCTACTGTGGCCATCTGGAAGATACTAGCTAAGCCCCCAGATCCCATGGAGTTACTTGCCTGTGGAACTCCCCCATATCCAGAGTCCTTGAAGCCTGGAAGTCTTCCTTCCATTATTTAAGTATTTTGGGCTGGGATATAGCTCAGTCGGCAGACTGCTTTCCTAAAAGTCCTGACCTGATGGCTCTTGTCTACAGTACCAGCACTCAGGAAGTGCAGAATGGAGAATCAAGAGTTCAAGGTCATCTTAGTTATATAGTAAGTTTGAGATGAGCCTGGGCTGCATTGAGACTCTGCCTCAAAACAAGCAAACAAACAAACCAAAGAAGTCCTCACTAAAGGAACAGCTGAAGCACAGAAGAGTAAAGATGATACCATGGACACAGGTGCTGCCTCTAGTACTTTTCCCAGATAACAGAGACCTGGGTGCACTTGTGGTCCTTCAATGCAGAGGCACCTTGCTTTACTGGCAGCATGTGACTTTCCTGTTGGCATCAGAGGCAGGGCAAAGCACAGTTTAAGTGGAAAACTACCTCTGTTACCAAAGATTAAAAGCTGACCTAGAAGTTGGGTGTGGTGACACACATCTTTAATCTTAGCAGTAGGGAGGCAGAGGCAGGTGGATCTCTGAGAGATTGAGGCCAACCTGTTCTACATATCAAGTGCTAGGCTAGCTGTATCTCAGTTTGCTTCTGGAAGCACCTACCAGCACTGAAGAAATTGTAATGACAAGGTGGAAATGAATTATTTATGATAAAGCATGCCTGCCACAGCCAGGCTGAGGACAGATAGTAGTCATGGGACATCTGGACAACCTGGGCCTCCCCTCTGTGCCTGTCACTGTATTTAAGGCTACCACGAAGTGTAGAGCCCACTCCCCTTCCTCAGAATTCAAACTCCCTGTCTAATAACTTCATTCATAGAACTTGTTTGGAAATCACAAGTGGTTTTTAAGATTTCAACTTGGGAGCGTTCTTTTTTGTTGTTGTTAGATGAAACACTATAAAGTCGCTGGAAGTTTGGGAAGCCAAATGGTCACAAGGCCTGGGTCCAAAAACAACAGCTGCTAATGGGAAATGTGTTCCAAGACTTGAGCCTCACAGAGAAAGGAAGAAGCCATGTGGCTGGGGATGTGGCTCGGCAGTGGAGTCTTGCCTGGTGTATGTGAGGCCATGGGTTCCATCCTCAGCACTAGAGAAAGAGAGGGGGAAGGAAGGGTGGGAGAAAGAGAGGAAATGACAAAGAAAAGAAAGACAATGGGGCTGGAGAGATGGCTCAGCAGATAGGAGCACTGACTGCTCTTGCAGAAGACCTGGGTTCAGTTCCCAGTACCCACATGGCAGCTAACAATGTCTGCATCTCCAGTTCCAGGGGATCTGACACCCTTTTCTGACCTCTGCAGGTATTACATGACACAGGTTCACTTACACACATGCAGCAATACACTCATATACATAAAATAAAAATAAATAAAATAGTAAAATAAAAGAAAGACAAAACCAAACCAAACCAGGGTCAGTAATATAGCTCAGAGAGTGAAGTCCCCGGCTGCCAAGCCTGAAGATTAGAATTTGATTCTCAGGAACTACATGGTGGAAGGAGAGAAATGAATCCCAAAAGTTGTCCTCTGACGTCCATATGCATGCAATGATTCTGTATACATGCACAAAACAAACAAACAAACAAACAAACAAACAATAAATAAATAAATAAATAAATAAATGTAATAAAAAGCATAAGACCTATGCAGAGATTTGGATTGGGGGAAGACAACCCATAGGTCTGAAAGATGGAGTTCTTCACTACAATTCTGTAGTATAGAAAACATCTTTTTACTGTATTATGAGCCTACATGTATGTAAACGCACCTGTGCATTCAATGCCTACAGAGGCCATAAGAAGGCACTGGATCCCCTAAACACAAACTCCAATTTTAATAGTGGCATCTAACTTCTCAGACAAACACCTTAAAATTGGTGTGCAGATGGGGCTGGAGTGATGGCTCAGCAGTTAAGAGCACTAGCTACTCTTGCAGAGGACCCAGGTTTGAATCCCAGCACCCACATGGTGGCTAACAACTGTCTATAACTCCAGTTCCAGGGGATGCAATACCCTCTTCTGACCTCCTTGGGCTTTGCATGACACGGGTACACTGACAAGCATACAGCAATACACTCATACACATAAAATAATATAAATAAATAGAAAAATTTTTTGGTCTTTTTGAGACAGCCGTAGCCCTGGCTGTCCTGGGACTCACTATGTAGACCAGGCTGGCCTTGAGCTCACAGAGATCTGCCTGCCTCTGCCTCCTGAGTGCTGGGATTAAAGGCATGCACCACCATGCCTGGCTATAAAATATATTTTTTAATTGGACTGCAGAAAATTCAGCCCCTTTTCATTGTTTGAGACAGGGTCCTGAGGTATAGCCCAGGCTAACCTTGAACTCTCAACCTTCTATCAGCCTCCCTAGTGCTGAATTATAGCTGTAAAGCAGCATACCTGTCACAAATATTGTCTTTATCTTTATTTTTATTTGTTTAGCTTGGGGGAGGGGGGCAAGGTCTTATGTAGCCCAGGCTGGCACTGAATTCACTCTGTAGCCAAGGATGACCTTGAACTTCAGCTCCTCCTTCTACTTCCCCAGTGTTGGGATTACAGGCCTGGTTCAAGAAGTTTTAGAGATTGAACTCAGGACTTTGTGCATGCCAGGCAAGCACTCTACCAACTGAGCTACATCCCCAGCCCTAAATATTGTCCTTTTAACCTGATGAAAACCACAGGAAGAAAACCACAAATGATCTGAGGATCTGGCTAGTAGTAGAGCAGCTGCCTAAGATCCTCAAGCCATAGGTTCAGAGGCTAGAGAGATGCCTCAGCAGTGAAGAGCGCTTCCTGCATGATCATTGCTGGAGTTTGGATCCCAGAACCCACATAAAAGTCAGATGTCCCATGCATCTGTAACCCCAGCCAGAACTTGCTGGTTTCCAGCCTAGAAGAGAAAAAGAAGCCCCCCAGGTTCTCTAGGGAGAGACCTGTCTCACAGGAACAGGTGGAGAGTGACAGAGGACACCTGACACCCTCTGCTGGCCTCATATGCATGCACAGGTGCACTCACAGGCATACCCGTGACACACACAGGACACATGCACACAAATGGATGGATAGATAGTAGATTTTTTGTTAAAGGCCCTAGAAATGGGGAGATGTCTCAGTGGTTAAAGCACTTGCCCCACAAGTGTGAGGACCAGAGGTCAGAGTTCAGATCCCAGAACCCATATAAATGTCAGGCGGGCATGGCAGCCCAGGTGTAATTCCAGCCTCAGAAGGTAGAGAAAGATCATTAGAGCAAGCTGGTGAGTGAAACTAGACAGATTGGTGAGCTCTGGGATTGACTGAAACCTTGACTAAATGGATAAGGGCAATCATGGGTGATTCCTGACAACAACCTTGGGCATCCACATGCATGTATGCACATGCCCATACACATGCTAATACATGTACACCATGCACACCACAGACCCATACAAAAAGAGAGGGGGAAAGGGCTGGTGAGATTGCTCAGTGGTTAAGTGCACTGGCTATTCTTACAGAGAACCTGGGTTCGGTTCCCAGCACCCACATGGCTGCTAACAACTGTCCCAAACTCCAGTTCTAGGAAATCTGACACCCTCTTCTGGCCTCTGAAGTGACTGCACATCACAGGTGCACTTACATACATACAGGCAAAACACACATACACATAAAATAAATCAAAACAAATTTTTGAAAGACAAGCATTTGACAACAATAATAATAAAAGAATCAATCAAGCTGAGTGTGGTGGCACATGCCTTTAATCCCAGCACTCAGGAGGCAGAGGCAGGCAGATCTCTGAGTTTGAGGCCAGCCTGGTCTACATAGCAAGTTCCAGGCCAGCTGGGGCTACAGGAAGACCCTGTCTCAAAATGATCAAAAAAGAACATATTCAATTTCCAGTCAAAGAAATAAAACAACAAAATCCCCAGTAGTGTTCAGAGGTAGGTGGCCTCTGTCCCACCCTGTGTGGCCTGAGCCTAACAAGGTCTCATTTTCCCAAGGGTGGCCCACCTTCCCAACTGAGCAGGCTCTCCCAGCCACACTGGCTTCCCTGTGGCTGTTTCGTTCCTATTATACTGCACATTTGGTAACAGAGCCTGTGGCCTACAGGAAAAAAAAAAAAAAAAAAAAAGATTATTTGACACAAAGAAATAACTCACTTCCTGCCCAGTGGGACCTGGGCACAGAGAGTGGGGTCGGGGGTGGTGCTGAGTCCTGATGTCCTCATCCCTGGGATCAATTCCCTCAGGGACGTGGGATGGAGGACTTTGGAGTCAACAGCAGATGGGACTGACTTTTGTCCTAGGATGACTCAGAGGGAAGGGAAGAGCTGGGAGGCAGGCCAGCAATGCCACCACTGCCACGTCGTCAGTCACCCAGGGGAGGCCACATTTGGCGAGCATCTGTGTCCCCAGAACTTGCTGGTTTCCACCAGCCACCACAAATCCCTGAGCTCCTGATCACATTCCTTGGGTTCCCAAACTTGTGGGTGGGACCTGAGATGCAGTGGGCATAATGAGACCCCATCAAGACAAAACACAAGCCCTACCTTTCTCAGGAAACCCTATTCACCAAGTTATTTTATTCTATTTTTATCTATCTATTTTTGAAACAGGATCTCAAAGATGTTTTATTTTTTTTTATATTTGTTTGTGTATCAGTGCATTGCCTGCATGTATGTTTATATACCATATGCATGCAATGTCAGCAGAGATCAGAAGAGGGATTTCCTGGACCCAGAGTTACAGGTGGTTGTTAGTTGCCATGTGGGTGCTGAGAACCGAATCTGGGTCCTCTGTAAGCAAAGTCAGTACTCACCAGGCATGGTGGCACAGGCCTTTAATCCCAGCACTTGGGAGGCAGAGGCAGGTGGATCTGTGTGAATTTGAGGCCAGCCTGGTCTATAGTGAGTTCCAGGACAACTGGGGTTACAGGAAGACCCTGTCTCAAAAAGACAAAAAAAGAAGAAAAAAGAAAGAAAGAGAGAGAGAAAGAAAAGCCAGTGCTCTTAACCCCTGAGCCATCTCTCGAGCCCCCTGTTTTGGTTTTGGGAGACAGTGTCTTGCTATGTAACCCAGGCTGGCTTTGCACTCCTGATTCTCCTGTCTCTGCCTTCTGAGTGCTGGTTTTACAGTGGTGGAAGGGGACTGCTTTGCTTCTTGAAGCACTGCATGATTTCAGTTACCAAACTCATTTACTGGTACCAGGTCTGCCTGGCAACTCCTGTACTCACTCACCATGGCGAAGCCAGAGAGAAGGGCCGAGGTCCGGCTGGAGGCTTTCAGTTTGGCCCTGCTCAGGTAGAGCTTCCTCCAGGACAGGGCCTGCACTGAATGGTGGTTGGAAGTGACTAGTTCCAAGTAGCTGCGGCGGACCCAGTCACGGTAATCCATGCCCTTCTGGCCAGGCTCAGGGCAGGCAGGGGTGGAGGGATCCACAGGCACATTGAGCTCGGCACTCATGATGGGAGCCAGGCTAGGGGAAGGAGAGACATGTTCAGGCATCTTGGGCAATTAACATGCAAAACCAGATTACAAGCCCTTTTGTAGTTTTTTTGTTGTTGCTGCCTTAGATTTATTTTTATTCATCTATGTGTGTCTATCTGTATGTGTATATGTGCATCTGTGCAGAGACCAAAAGAGGGTGTTGACTATCACCCTTTCTTACTCCACCTATTCCTTTGAGGCAGGGTCTCTCCCTGAACCTGAAGCTCACATTTTCTTTTCTTTTCTTTTTTAATTTTTATTTATTTTTTTCTTTTTGAGACAGGGTCCCCTTGCAGCCCCAGCTGGCCTGGAACTCACTATGTAGACCAGGCAGGCCTTGAACTCACAGAGATCTGCCTGCCTCTGCCTCCCAAGTGCTGGGACTACAGGTATGCGCCACCATGCCTGGCTATTTATTTATTTTTCATTTTTATTCCATGAGTATGAGTGTTATGCCTGCATGTAGGTGAGTACACCCATGTCATACAATGCCCATGGAGAACAGAAGAGGCTGTCGGATCCCCTGGAACTGGAGTTACAGACAGTTATTAGCTGTCATGTGGGTGCTGGGATTTGAACCCAGGTCTTTTGTAGGAACAACCAATGTTCTTAACTGCTGAGCTATCTCTCCAGCCCTTCTTTTCTTTTTTAAAAAATTATTAATTTATTTTTATGAAATAGGTTTTTTTTTTTTTCTTTTTTTTCAGACAGGGTCTTCCTGTAGCTTCAGCTGGTCAGAAACTCACTATACAGACTAGCCTTGATCTCACAGAGATCTGCCTGTGTCTGCCTCCTGAGTGCTGGGATTAAAAGTGTATGTCACTGCACCTGATGCAAAATATGTTTTTAATTTTTATGTATATGAGTATTTTGCCTGCATGTATGTAAGCGTTATCACATGCATGCATGCAATACCTGCAGAGGCCAGAAGAAGGCATTGGATCCCCTGGAACTTGAGTTACAGACTGCTCTTAGCCACTCTGTGGGTGCTAAGAACTGAACGCAGGTCCTCTGCAAGAGCAGCAAGGGCACTTAACTGCTGAGCCCTTTTCAGATCCTAAAATTTGGATTTTAGGTGTCTCTGTGTATGTGTCTGTGTGTACACATCTGTGCCACCTTACATGTGTGGAGATCAGAGAATGACTTGGGAGAGTCAGCTCTCTCCTTCAACCATGGGAGTCCTGGGGATTGAACTCAGGTCATCAGGTGTGGCAGTAGGCACCTTTACTCACTGAGCCATCTTACCAGCCTCTCAAGTTTTTTCCACTAAACTGGAAGTCAGCAAGCCCCAGTGATCCTCCTGTGTTCCCCCTCCCTCCCCCACCAAAGCTGGAGTTGTGGACATGTGTGAGACACCTAGATACGTGGGTGCTGGGATCCAAACTCTGGTCCTCATGACTGTGCTGGGCATCACCATGGCCATATTGTTTTTCTGCAAACTTGAGAGTCCCATCTTTTTTCTGAAACCCAGGAGAAAACCAAACTGAGTGACTAGAATTCAAAGGCTAACTGAAAGTACCCCGTGACTTCTCTGACTAGCAGCAGCTTTGACGAACAAGCATCTACCACATAAGCCAAGTCCCTAGGCCCTCACGGGGGGAATTCTAGGCAGGTGCTCTATCACTGAGCCATACCTCAGCCCCTCACTGGGGAATTCTAGACAGGTGCTCTACCATGTGTTATGCCCTTTGCTCTCTTTTTATTTAAAAAAAATTTTTTTTGGTCTTTTTGAGACAGGGTCTCCCTGTAGCCCCAGCTGTCCTGGAACTCACTATGCAGACCAGGCTGGCCTTGAACTCACAGAGATCCGCCTGCCTCTGCCTCCGAAGTGCTGGGATTAAAGGCGTGCACCACCACGCCAGGCTTCTCTTTTTATTTTTTTGAGACAAGACGTTGGTTAAGTTATCCTGTCTGGCTTTGAACTTTTAATTCTTCTGCTTCTGTCTATGTAGTTGGGATACAGTCCTGTAATTCCAGGCACTCAGGCCTATCCCAAATACTTTCAGGCACTCACAAACATGTAAATAAAAATAAATCTTAAAAGAAAGAAGAGATGGACTGAAAAGGAGGGAGAAGAGAAGAGAGGGAGAAAGGGCAAGAGAGAGGGAAAAAGGGGAGAGAGGGAGGCAGGAAAGAGAGAAGGAGGGAAAGGAAGAAGGTGGAAGAGCGAGGGAAGGAACAAGGGAGGGAGGGATGGAGAAATGGTGAGACTAAATCCATTGAGTGGCAAAAGCATACTTTAAGGAGACACAGTGGCTAAGGATCTCAGAGGTCACCCCTATTAGACATTAGGTTTGACAAAAGCACCTACTGAATCTCAGAACTGATCTGTTAAGATCTGTGACTCTCCCCCTATCTAGAAGTCTTTGCAGGGAACTGACACCTATTTTAGTCACTCCAACAGCTATCAAAGTACCTGAGAACAAATCCTGAGTCCATCACTCTTGAGTCCAGCCTTGGCAAAGAAAAATGAGGAGGAACCCAATAGAGGGATGCTTTTGGAAGCTCTTGTCAAGAA